AGGAGAATTTTTGCAGATAGATAGTGAAGAGTTTGCACTTGCCATTCCTGACTTGATGCGCATTATTACCAAGGGAGATCTATTGCCTAGCAATTATACGCATAAAAATCGAAAGGATAAGAACAATGAGTCGAAATATAGTGATAATCTATCAGATGACATGTCGGATTCTTGTCATACGAACTATCTAAAGGTTATCGGGAAACTCGGTGGCGGGGTTCGATACGGTATGGGTGGACATTTTCACCGTAAGAGTTGTGACACCGCTAGCGGGTTTTGTCACAAATGTTTTGGGAGTAATCAATGTTGGTCAAAGGAATCAATTCCTCACTATCATGTCATTACGCGGATGCCAGAATATGCTATTTCGCATGATGGAAGTACTTATGATTCATTCAAAGGCTTTCGATCTGATTATGTCCATTTGAGCTTTAGCGTAATTTGTCCTTTGACTTCGGTTCATCCTTACGATGCCAAATCAGAGTCGACCACACTCTTGAGGAATTCGATACATTTGAGCCCGGAAGCCCTTCAACACGCTTTTGCATGGTTATCATTGTTTGATTCTGCGATTTCGACTCCTATACGACAAGGTCCTCTATTTCCAACTCAAGAAGCGCCATCGCCCAAGCTCGTAGATCACTTACAAACGATAAAATACAAAGTTTGTTTGTCTCCGTTGTCTCTAGGTATGTTCTATAAGCATCAAGCTTTCAATGAACAAGCCGACGGACGAACTCAGTTTTTAGGGTTTAAGGGTAAAATCGACCAGTTCACTATCGATTTACATCAGCGAGTGCAAGAGAAAATTATCGAAGCCGATGAGCAGCAGGTGGAATCAAAAGAGATGGTTTTGCATGAGGCAGAAATGGATTTCAAGGATTTAGATTTGCGTTGTATTGTCGTACGCTATACAGAGGATGATATTGATTTTTGTGAATGCAAAGAGGATGAGTCAGAGAAACAGGAAGATGCGTTCGGGAAAGATGAAGATTTTGTTTTATATAAAGAAGATGATGAGTGGATTGATTTGGACGACTATATGGAGATTGGGTGGATATTACCGGAAGCATTACCGCGAGTACAAACATTTTCATTGCTAAAATGTCCACAACTAATGTATTACAAGCAAATGGTGAAAGAAGATAAAGTCAAGTCAATGCAAGTTGATCAGGAGACGCACGTGTGTCTAATGGGACGAGGCAGAGGTATTTATAGGTCAAATTTGTCGTCAGGGAGACTTCTCCGAAAGGGATTAGACATACTAACTGATACTTTATTGTGATATTCATCGTACAAAGAAACGAAAGAAATCCAAATGCATCTTTTAAATCAGCGACTGAACCAGATAGAATTGGAAATAGCAAAGCAACAGGCAAATCATGCGTGCATTGAGGACAAGATTATGTTGGATCCGGGAAATCTTGATTTGAATGATGAGGTCAGTTTTCTTTGTGTTTTTATTTTGCAGAATGTCAGTTAATGCTTGCCAACTGACACGAAGTTTATGCGTTTAGTTAAAAGAAAAAACAGAGTTACTACGCGTTTTATCAGATAAAAAGAAGCTTATTGTTGAATACAGCAGATTGCTTTCATGTGAGGGGGGAGTACCGAAAAGTTTTCCCAGAAACAGGAACTATGGCGTTGATGATGGATTAGATAGTGATGAAATGGATGAAGATGATCGTCGTGAATTCGACTTTCCTCTCTGGGCTGATTCACCTGGTCACTTTAGTCATCGGTTCGTTGTTCATAACGCACAATTAGTTTGGAATAATAGTGTACGCAATGTTACATACAAATTTTGGGATCTTATCGAACAATACCGTGGTATCACATATTATATGTCAATGAGTGCGGTAAAGTTTATTCGCGATTTACAAAAAAGCCAGAAGCATGGAACTACTTCTCCTCTTCAAATGCCATCAACACCGGGATGTGATGACTCGGGATTTGATGCCCATCAGGCAGCTCAATTGCTTAAGAAGCTAGTTGGGGAAGAAGAAACAAACTTTGTCGTACCGAACGAGGAGCAAATTGTTGAAAAAGACGATTTAGGGAAAGATTATCGTAGGCCATCTCAGAAGCCCGATGATATTCCTGACGGGTACTCACTTTGGAAGAATTATATCATACAATTGATAAATCCACAGATCAACTTTCGGAGCGATAAGGATCTCTCGGCCAGTATTATACTGTCATGTGAAAGGGCCCAATTGAAGTCGTTTCAGATTCTCGATGATCGTTTGAAAGGAGATTTTACAAATGAGGTTGTTAAAACAAAGACAATATTTGGTTTGGACAATGCTCAGTTTTTTACTGTGTTTAAGAAACAGTTTCAGTCTGATCTATCGCGAATGCTTGCAGCAAACAATTATGGCAGCGAAAGTGATCACAACTGGCCTGTATGGCTTCCCGTTGAAGCCTTTCTCTGGTCTGAAAGAAGTTTGTATCCATTTCAACAAATTGTCAAGAGGACATCAGCCACCATGCAGTACGATAAGTTCAACCATCTCCGAATAAAGGATAGTCAGCTTGATGATGCATATCATGTAAATCGACCTACCTATCTGAAAAACGATGAAACAGCAAAAAGAATGGACTCGTGGCTTATCAATTTTCCCAAGTTCAAGTTTTCTGCAACTTCAGATCAATACTGCGTCTTCTACAATGTTGTGTCTGATCTATTGATGTACCGTGAGCCAGCCATGAAAAAGCGAGCGGATAAACTAGATACTATCTTATATACAGCTGATTTGGATGATTTGACGGGAGCAGCCGAGATGGTGGCCACGTTGCAGGAGAATATAAGACAATTGGAAGAGTTAAAACACCAGTTGCTACTGAACTCGAATACTTCCGGAGAAGACTCTTTTAAGAAACTGTTAGAGGTCAACGCTGAGTTGTTGGAATCACAAGAAGAACTTTACTTACTCATGGAAGCGATTACAGCGTCGCAGAATCAAAAGGAAAAATTTGACGGTAATACCGCGCTGAAGCTTATCGCAGCGGCTAACGAAGTTGAATGGATAATGCAACTAGATGATAATGAACCATTCTGTGAGTGGGGACTGGCTAATGCGCATTTCGTGTGGATGACTAAAGAAGATCATTCGAGTGCTAACACGTTGGAAGTTGATAGTATGCGTGTAATTAATAGACTGAAGAACCCAATATTCGCAGAATTAATACGTCCGTACATCACGGATCAAAAAAGAGTTCCAAATTTCAGTCGACAAAAGATATTGCGTGTATATTGGAGAGAGACGGACCCGATAGCTGGAATAGCCGTTGTCGAACATTTTGAAATTAATTTATTCCCTTTGAAGTTTCAAATGCAATACGATGTTGGTAAACAACTAATGCTGTATATATTTCCCGAGAAACGCAAGACGGAGTATACGAGTTCTGCTAACAGTACAATGCAGTCAGTTCCATCAACATTAGGTTCAATGTCTACGAAAAACGGTTTGTTGGATCATGATGCATTGGCACATCGTCAAAACTCAACGCCAATACAATCGCGACGTAATTCAGAAGAATCAACGGAAGCCGTTGGAAAGTTGCCAAAAATTATTAAGGATGATGGAGTATCGGTTAACGAGACAGTTGTTTCAAGCGAATCAGAGACGCTTGTAGCATCAGAAGATGGAACAGTGTCCATGACTAGTACTGTAATGACTCAGCACACAAGCAGCAATAAAAGATCTAAAGTTCAAAGTAATACTGTCACTGATTATAGTGTAACTGACGAACTGGAGTTGATGAGAACACGGGCTACAAATAATAAGACATTTGTGTACATAAAAATACCAGATGTGGTGTGCAATATCAGTTATCAGGTAAGAATATGTTTACCCATAGCATTTGAATAAACATGCGCGCTTTCATGTACTAATTTATTGTTTATGCAATGCAAGGGGGCGAAAGAAACTAATCTCACAGATTTCTACGATTGTGTTTTCAAAATGCAAACACTAGAATATCGTGGAAGGACATGGTCATGGCTTGACTTTTTTGAGCAGTTAAAGAAAGGTCAGAATACATCGGGGATCTTCTGCGACGTATTGGCCCGATTTCCTAACAATAATCAATTGACAATTTATGTAATTAGACGTAATCAGATCCATCCTTCGAAACACGGGAGAGTTAATAAATGCCAAGTTACGCAGGCCAAAGCCAAATACGGATCCTGGTTCAAGTGCAACCGGCAATACGAATGATAGTATGTCCTCTGATCCGATTAATGCGACTGACGAGTTACTGTTAGGTCAAGATTCGATGTCGGGAGCAGAGGAAGCATCCGATAAGGGATCTGTTATTAGCAACGAAAGCTTGGAAAAAAAGCAAACTAGAATTCACATATTGAAGTAAGTGATAATGCAATATTCTAATATGAAGAGAGAATAGGAATATATTATTAACTTGGGAAACAATCTACTCCATAGGAAAAGTAAGAATGAAACCAGAGAAGTTGGTGCGAAACATGCACGCAGAATCAGTAACTCCACTATGGTCTCGCAATTATCTAGCAGTACCAAATCGACTTCATCTTCAACGTCTCAAAAGCAACCACGTGATGATGCTGAACTCGAGGCTAAGGGAAAACTTTTATTGGGAAAACTATTCAGGCACTCACCATCATAAACAATCCAATATTTTGTATTCAAAAATAGACAATCGTAACTTAAACAATGTAAAATAGTAATTCATTATTTCTCGAAGGGGGTTAATTCTAGTCCCTGTGCAATAATTACATTTATAGACTCTAATTGGCCATAATAATCTATTTATTAAATTCAATCGACTTTAACTGTATTAGTATTATAATTGCGCACACTTCGCTTTTTGTTGTAATGTCCTCAAACATTTCACGTGATGAAACCCTTCCCGTGATCAACCCAAAGATTGCTATATAATCAAAACACAACTACCTCTACTCCCCATTATTATAATTAGCAGCCATGACTAGTTTCGATAGCCTATATATGCGCTACAAAATGCCCTCGGATGCATATACTTCTTTCGCTCCCACTACGGAGCGAGCTGTTGGGAGACGAAGCAGGGTCGGATTTCCAGCTGATTACCCTCTTGCGTTTCAGGCTGCTGGTGCGTTGGTAAGAGAGGACGCACATAACACAGTGATTATGTATGGAGAGAACGATACCAATGATACAAGAGCATTGTGATCACAAACGATAATGATTGTATATTGTTTAGGCGAATATCCACATTCGAATTTAAAGTTTGATGCAAAACGAGGTGTTTTTATTGAAACGGATCAAGACTTGCTAAACGTAAGAATGGCTCGTTCATAAAAGTGTTGTTATTATGATGCAATGTTAGTAGCATTCTTAGCGCGCACAGGATATTTGCATCCATACTGAGAAATTATTCGATTCCTTTCCTTCCTCATTCCATCTGCCTATACAGGCCCACTTAGAAAGTGCCAGTCAATACGAGCGATCACCACTAACAACTCGTGAACGCTCGATACTTGCTCAAACTACGCCACGCCGTATCTCTACAGCGGCGCTTTCTTATCGCTCTTCTCGTCGATTACCTACTTACACAAGTTCTACTCCATCTCATCGAGTACCTGTGACGCCACCTATTAGTGTGACGCGTTCGAATATATTTTCTGCAGTTCCTCCATCTGCATTTACCGAAGCAGGGAGGATATTTGTACCGTTAGTAGAAGGTGTAACACTGAGGAAATGTAGCGAGGTTTGCATTTCAGATTTTGACAAGGAGGAAAAGCTAAAGTAAGTTTTCTAAAAGTAGACGTAACAAGCGAGTTGGCGATTTAGGCTGGCCAATAATGGTCAGGGGATTGATGATTCTTGCTAATCATTTGTCATTCTTTTTTTTCTTCTGAAAGATCAAACGCGTCTATAATAACATCATTTGATCCAGAAAAAGACAAAGAATTATACGAAAAAGCCATTGAGATCTACAAGTACTTTAGAGATATCGGCGATAAAGATTCCAAGAAAAAATAGACTAGTATAAGATGGGAAAGGTAAGATAGCGATAACATACAGATTCGCTTCGATGACGCGATATCAGGCACGAATATTACAAACAGAGAATTGGGTTATCATGAATTTCAAAAAACGATAGAGTTAAATACAACGATATGTATAATTACATACATTATAAAACTGTCAATACATTATCTGCATTACATAATTCTCAAAAAAAACTACCTTTATACGTCTCCTCATCTATTTCATTCATTCCGTTTTTTCCTCTCGGTATCACTTGGGCCTTGCTCAGCACTCTATTCGTATCGGCTATCCTTACAAAAGGGAATGAACATATCTCCACTTCTAAATTTTCGACTTCTTCTTCATTCCACGGCCCGGCCATCGTACTCGGTGTCAATTTTTCTCCACTCTCAAAGAAAAACTTAAATTCTGGTACCGGCTCCTGTGCGTGGAATCCAAAGTATAGATGTACCGCCTGCTGAATTAGATCCTGTACTTCCATCATAGCTTCTTCTTTTTTTCTGCCTTCGAGAGTAAGAACACGATATCGCGACATAGTTGCGAGGAGGTCGTTGGTCAAGTTCTTAATGAAGGGGTGGGACGAGTTTACAAATGCTCGCGAGCCTAGAACAGCATAGATTTGTTGCCGTATTTTTATTGGAGTGATAGACGTTAATTGATCACTGCCTTTGCGAGACGAAGAGAACTGACCAACTAAAGAAACGAGTTGACTTGTCGTGCTTATAATTGATGCCTCGAGATTTTCATCCGGTATTTGGCGTCCATTAATAACTATTCCAAGACTACCATCTATAAAAGTATCTATATGTGAGAATATCGTTTCTAAAACTAGTCGTTGAAGACAAGCACTCAGAACAGGTTTTGGTCGTTTATCTGTTATCTTTGTGTTGCATTTATATCGATGTAGTAGATCTGCGGCTGCTTCCTCGTTGATTTTCACGTTAGCACCTTTGACTTTACAAAAGTCGCTAAGAAGGTGATGGAGATCGTTGATCGCCTTGGTAAGTTGGACTGAATTGTTAGAGTCGTCATCGCTCCATCGGATGTTGGTTGCCGAACCAAGAGCCGATTGATAAGCTGAAGCTTCTTCTTTCAGCTTTTGCATTTCTTTGCGCAATGTCCGGACCTCTGCTTCAACTAAATACCGTTATCGGAGAAATATGTGGGTAAGCAAACAAATAAACAAACAAACAAACAAACATACATACATACATACATACATATACATACATACATACACACAAACCATTAAAAAGTTTGGTGAGCAATGGGTTTCTTTTGTTTGTAAATAATATCATTCTTTGACTTACCATTATCATTATTAGTCCTCTGCTGTAATATCAATTTATCAGCCTCGTGCTTTGCAGCCTCTTTTTCTTCATTAGCTCTGTTCAATTGCCGATATAGTTCTTCCTTCTCCCGACACGCTTCCGCATAACTACTGTTTAACTGTTCTTTCTCTTTCCTAAGCTCTTCATTTCGCTTTTGTGTTTCTTGAATCTGTTCTTCATATTGCCTGCACTTTTCATCTGTTTCCCTTTTTAACGTCCGGGACTCTTCAACCTTTGCTTTAAGTCTGTTTCTGGTCTTTTCGAGCGCAGAAGAGAGAAGGTTAACTTGTTCATGATGTTCGTAGCGTAAGAAATCTTGACCGCGAATATCGTCAAAGTCGTCATCATCGCTATTTTCCTTGGCACGAACGTGACGGTCGTCTTTTGGAGTTCGCGGTGGTTGACGTAATACTTGTTGTGGAGAAACAAAGGACCTTTGTTTTTCTGTTGGCAAATATTCAAGACAAACAAAAAGGAAATCAAGCATTAGTGGTAAATGTTTGGGGACTTTGTCTATTCCAATGATATCATCGAGTTGTCTTTCTAATTATACTTACGAGGAATCCCCTTGACATATTCGCTGGGAGTCTTTCCAATGCCTTCAAACAAATTGGGAGCACTTGCTACGCAACATTACAGAATATCGATTAATCTCAGTAAATCCACGAATCTATCTCGGGTTCATACATTCTATTCCTCACCATTAGACGTAATGGGGCGAATTATGGGTCTTTTAGGTTTTTTCCTTGTCCCCTCTGAAGTAGCTTGATAGTAAGGTTGTAAATGAAAAATCTGTTCCGTTCGTAGCAGGTCCTCTTTTTTTGGGTAGGCACTTGGTTCGTTCTCTCGAGAATGTTCATTTGGATACAGTTGATCGGCTGCTAGCGGTACTGATGGTGTTGTCGTAGAATCTATTGGTCGTGGATTTGGTGAGCTGACATCGGATGTCGCAATGCCATGATTATTTATATTGCTCAATCTTCGAGATCGTCTTCGGTCGTTTAAGATATCACCGGGCAAGGGTTCTTTTGCATCTTCTGCGTTTTTAGATAAATTTGAATGTAATGAGTGCATATTATGATTATGCTCCATTCTGGTTTGTTCATTTACAATATACTTATCGATTACGGAGTGAAGTTTTCAAAGAGGAAAGAGAGGCGGGCTTTATTTATCGTTTAGAATGCGACGCTTGTAAAAGTGGTACATGATTCCTAATTTTGGCTGCCGTGAAACATTGCTTAATTATTATTAGTTTCAACTAAAATTCTTTTTACTATCTCCTCGTACATTGTCCAAACAATTGCTGACTGAATGGTTTTTCTTGCCAGTCGCAAAGTAATACCGTCAAAGAAGCCTATGATTCCTTCTTCCTTTATATGAAATGGATTAGTGAAACTCCGTAGACATATTCGACGACAAGACTCCTTGACATTACCTTAAACACTAAACGTGCCGATTGCCAGGTATTAGAGTATTTGGACGGTTTCAACTGCATTCGCGTCTTTAACATGTCAAATGGTTGAGTAGTGACTGTTGCTGCAACACTGGCGAATATTGCTAAACGACACCAAGTAATTAGTTAAAGGCTGGCAAACTATAAATAAACAGTCCCAATTTAATATATCACCGGATGACATGTGTATTACGGGCGATGCTATAGAGTACGAATTGGCCGTCTTCCATTCTAAAAAAGATGATGGAAACGCATTGTATATTAGATAAGACTTTACGATTAGCCCTTTGAACAGATTGCGCTGGTATGCGCGTTTTTTTTACCTCCAATCTTTGACTTTGCATTCTCATAAAATAGAATATACAACCCTGCTTGTGGGGCGTCTCTTATTGCGGTCGCACCATATCCAGCGAATAATCCTAATAGTCAATTGAAAATCAACATATACACGGAAAAAAGACCAAATAAGAGCCAAATATATGTTTCCTTGCCTTTGACGCCATCATTACGCACAATTGATATTAGTGCATCCCAGATACTCTTATAATTATAGATATTACTCTATGAAACGACTTGTCAATACAGCTTGCGCTTACAATCGAATGTCAAATGGCATCGTTCACCTTCTACATACCTCATATCTAACTTTAATGACTGTGATTGGCATCATGATGAAACCGACAGTAGCTCGCGCAGTCATCCCTGCAATAAGATTTTCCCTCTTTGACAATACTGGCAGTAACGATACAGAGTCATCTGATTTTACTTTAGCAGAGGATATTAAACGACTCTGACTAAACAAATGTCGAATCTCTGATAGAGTAAGGAAATATAATCCTTGTCCAGGAACGTTTCTGGGATACCGTGAGTAATAATTGGAACAGTATTTGGAAAGCAAATATTTCAAAATTTGGTGATTTTACCGAAGTATAGTTGGTACTGTTCCTCGCCATAAACCAAGCACGGAATTTTTGGAAGTGATCTCTTTTATAGTTGATACAATCGTGCTGAGAGATAAGGGAGGGGGAAAGGACATATATGTACGCGCAATGATTATGTTATCCTTCGCTCGCGTTTTAATATACCCAAGTCAGTTATCCCACCTATTTAATGGATTTAATCTCTTTCCATCTTTCAAGATAACGAGGTGATCTTGCTTTTGTTGCTGTATTCTTGTTTTAATTAAATCAAAAGGTTGTAGCCCCACACAGGAGACAAGCGCTGATACAGCACCTGCTACGAAATGTACGGTAGGATCTTTCTTTTCCTCAGGCATCAATATTTGATTTTACAGAAACAACATTAGGAACTAGCTGACAGTACGTTCAATGTAATTTTGGCACATCATCCAATCACATCCTTCAACCTGCCTCCACAGTTTTATTCACAAATCAGTTGGACTTTGTACAAAAAAAAAAAAAGAAAGAAGGGAAGAAAGAAAAGAAAGCGGGGTTTTGATAATAACTAGACCAATTCAATATTTCCCAACCGCGCTCTCTTAAATTATATTATCCAAGGCATTATAAATAGCGTCTAACCAGCGAAACCTGCACTAGCTACATTCTTATTCCACACATTATTTTATAAAAACATTTACATTAAATACATCTTTCACAAACTATTATCCTCCTTTCTCCCAGTAAAACCAATCGATCAAACTGGAACCATCGTCAAATGCAAATAATAATGTATTAGTTGCTGGAATATTTCACGCCTCAACTTTTTTTGCAATTTTTATACTTACATTCGAAAATCCTGATCATTCCAATCCCGCTTTTCTCCTGACCGCAATTTTTTATATTTACGTATTTCTTTAATTTTCTTAGCAACGACTAGAACAAACATTCATCGTGAGCATCGGACTATCTAATTAATCGATTAATCAAAACTTGATTATAACTTACATGTTCGAGCTGCCAAAAGATCGTCATTTGTTTCTACGTTCGATGGAAGCGATGGCAGTGGCACCGTGGGAGGCCGCCTAACTTGCAAATTTTCATCTGCCTTTCCTATAATGAAACACGAAAGAAAGTTGAATAACAATCTCTCAAATTCAGTATTTTTCCGAATACAACTTACTTTTGAGAGAATCAGGTGAATGAAGGTAAGTTATGAATCGGCTTTTATAACGAGTTCCAGAAGCTGGCGCGGGTTTTTCTAGACCTTTTGGTAGAAAGTGCGGCGACATCATCACAGATAGTGAAATTAAATTATTCAATACTTCATCCGCAAGAGGACGTTTGGCCGGATCAGGGTCCCAACACTTTTGTATCAACTCGGCACATTTTTTACAAATTTTATCAGTTATAGGAGGTCGTGCTCCTTTACAGATGTCGGCTTGTAAAGCTGCATCATGTGCACGATCGGCAAATGGTCGTTGGCAACTTAGAATTTCCCACATAATAATTCCAAAGCTGTAGATATCCGCCTTCTTAGTATATCCCTCTCCTCGCAAAACCTCAGGCGCAACGTACGGCATGATGCCGTAGACGCCTTTACTTGATTTACGCGAACACTCGGAGTGTCGATGAAAACCAGCATCGCCGACATACAAACATTTCCCATGTTGAAGAATATTACCACCATGAAGATTACGGTGCAAGATATTGGCACGATGTATGACAGACAAGCCTTGAGCAATGTTTTTCAAAGCGAGAATATCACCTGGCCACATCTTTGTTCGTGACATTGAATGATATAGATCGCCTTGATCGGCATACTGCATTACCACTATTATCTCTTTCGTGCTTGGTTCTATAGATAAACCATAAATCCGCAAAACATGAGGCAGAGTAAAGTTATCAAACGATTCGCAATCTGGTGCACATCGACAGAAAAGACGTAGCTGTATTTAGCAAAAAAGAGGGAGGGGGGTTGTTTCAACGGTAAGATTGTTTTGCAGGTAAGAGAGAAAATTCAAAGGAAAACGTTCTTTGATTTGTAGAGACGTATTCATGGTATCTACAACATACCTCATCAAAGTAATCTGTCGATACTTTTTGAGACTTGCTAATGACTTTGAGGACAACCTTTGCGGATGACCGTCGCAACCATTGCGGGAGCCCTTTAAATTTTCGTGATTCTTCACTAAAAGATGGGGGACCGTCTCTCGGGCCATCCTCCCAAATTGCAGAGTAGACAGTGCCATGTCCACCAGATCGAATAGGTTTGATTTTTCTTAGCTTGTTATGTGGAATCCATTCCAAAAACGAAAAGATTGATGGAGCATTGCGTTGAACGTCTTTAATGACCACATCGACAACTTTGTTTCCGCTCGTCCAGCCAGGAGTCTCGTCCTGGTATTTACGGTATTCGCACGAAGCACACCAGAAGTAGTACGTGCTCTGCTGTTGACAAGAGGGACATGTGCCATAACTTTCTGTAGGCATCACTGCGTCTGCCTTCTCGCCGGTTGTTACGATCATGCTGGTTAGTAGACTCTAATTATGCGAGTTGCGTTTTAAAGTTGATGGTTATTAACATATGAACTATATATCTTGATATTCCCCGTTAATTTACAAATCTTTAAATACAAAACGTTTCGAATCAAGGGATAATAATATTGAGTAATGGAACAAAGCGTAATCACAATGCGGGCGGACAGGATACGGAGCGGTTTTTAAGTTTTAAGTTTGCATTAGAATAATTAAAATTTTCCACAGAATCGCTGCAAATTGTTGCCGATCATCGCCAAGTGCAGCAAATCCGATTTCTCACCATGATGAAGTTTGTAAGCGGAAATGGATCATCAACAAGCTTGCGCACGATGCTTCCTCCGTGTTTAAATGAGACACTGATGTAGCTAAATGGTCAGTGGGTTTGTCTGAAATGATGCGTATAACACCATATTTGGTCAAGCCCCATCACATATGTGCATTCATATGCTTACCGTTCTGTGCAAGAGAAAACGTCATGGAATCTGTCTGGTTCGGCAAGCCACGGATGGAATAAAAACCGATTGTTCCCAAACTTGTGTTTAGTGGAACGGCAAAAATTCCTGTTGTCGGACCAGTTCGAACTGTTTATGTCTTCAACTTTCGCACAGTCATCCCATCGAATGTCTCACCATTTCCGCTAATACCCGACGAGTCTCACGTAGTTTTCCGAGAAAGTTCTACCAATACTAATACTCACCCCCACTATGACTAATTAAGTGATACTAACAAATAAACCGAATTTCAGCGAAGGAGACAAATATCAACAAATACACACATAAGCATTTGATAATACACAGTAGCCTCAAGAATGGTAACGTAACTTTGAGACTTGTCATTCGAACCAATAACTTATTCGTTGATGCGTCCAAGACGCCATTTCCACTCCTCACAGATTACAAATTAAACGTATAGGGACCCAGTTTCTATTTTATTATGCAATTCACCCATATGATATTAATCCAAGTCATTTACGTGAGCCTATATAATATTATATCATTTAATTCATATTGTTCATGCTTTCTTTTTCATTCTTAGCCGAATCTCTGACTTAGTCCCGCTCTCCTTCCACCAACAGTATCCCTAAAGCAGAAAACGTATTCCAAGACAGCAAGCTGTAGTGGGCTCAAATGGCCTCTTGGATTCCAATATTCTATGCGAGATCTTTCCTTCACTTTCTGCTCGTTATCTAGTTCGCTCCGCATTATGACATCATTATTACGATGATTATCACGTTCAAGTCGCTGTCGAGAAGTATTTTGTAGTTGAACAGATTGATTAAGCTCTTCTTCCTTTTTTTGCATTTTGGCTAGAGCGACTGGAGACGTCTGATTAATTATCAGAGTACGATTTTTGGAAGAAGAAGAAGGGGGAGGAGGGGGAGGAGGGGGAGTATGTGGAAGAGGGGGGGTATGTGGAAGAGGGGGATGTCTCGAATATTTGTTGAGCGTGACGGTGAGTCGTTTATCTCGAGAAGAAGATACTTGGAAAACACCAGGAAATCTCTCACCAAACAAGGATTTCTGATTTGGATTGGTGATTGCGCAAGAACATAGTAATAATAATGGTAACGGAGTGTGATTAGATTATATCCTGATTGTCATTGATTGTAAGATCAAACAATATGCTAAATCAGTAGATCATGGTCAATGCAAGGATCGTAATATGAAGAAAAAAAAATTGGGAAATTCCTTTTTTTTTTCTCTTAGACTCTCCCTTCCTCTTACCCGAAATCTCTCTCTTTACTTCCTCCCCAACCGAGAATACTCACTAATTTGGTATTGTACCTCAAGGCCCTTCCAAAATACTTTAGATACTGCATCGGTATATCCGATAGGTAAATAGTACCCCCATAACTTATGAATAATTCAATCAATTTTCTCTTAGTCTCTGGTGCATCCACGTCATCAACTAGTCCACGCACTTTTGCCGTCTTCGGATCTATACTGGCCGTTGTCGGCTTTTTGTATGGTTGACTTCCTTTGGATGGAATCTGATTCTTTAAAGAATTATTATTATTATTAAGACTGTCGGTTAACTGGACACTATTATACGCATGCTGTAATGACATAGCCGAAATGTTGGCTACGGCCTCAACTCTAATGTCTAAATTCTTATCTTTGTTGCCTAAGAAGTTGAAGTCGATAGGTGCCTTTTCATTGCCTTTGTTCATGCTCATCGTAATGAAATGCAGAGAACTGATGTGATACAGACTTACCAAGAAAGTTGATGAATAATATGACTAGCCCGATCTGCAGATATGTTTCATTGGTCCATAATCAATTACATTTTATTGGTCAGCGTTTATATGCCCAGGCATGCTGCATGCCCCATGTATTAGTTCTTGAACCTTGGCAACACGAGACTCAACTCTATAGTTTACTTACGATTCCTGTCTCAATACGTTCTTTATTATCGTAATAACACTTTACTTGATAACGGTGGTGATGATCCATCCAAGACCTGGGTAAACATTTAGCCGGGAAACTTGCCCATTCAATTGACGACAAGATTATGTATTCAATCATCATTCAAGTAGGACAAGTTTGCATTTGCGTTGTCATTCAAGTTATCCGCGGGGGGGATAATTATTTTACTTGCGGGGGCTCGGGAAATAATGACGATAATTTCATATTTGCGTCGCCACTCTATTTATAATGACAATGATTTTATATTTGCATCATTTCTATCGCTCTTTTCAAAATTTCTGCAGTCACAACATTTGGTCACATTGGATTATAAGACGCCTACTTAATACAACTTTACACCGGTGACATGGTGACAGTTGTCTAGAAATTGGTTAGTGATATACTGGCAAAGAGAAATTCCTGCCATTTAAATTGCTTTACAAATGCGTATTGGATTCAAAATGCCAACGGGTATAGAAGCAACTAAACAAAGGAACGCAAAACTCCAACTGGTATAGAATTATTGGGAATAATAACAAATAAATATAACAAAATCTTCCAATACCCTTTTATGAAATGGTTACCAAATTACCGAAACACAAACAGCGTCATCTCTGAACGCGAAAATAATGGCAATAGCGCCTTCTACCACCGCGGGCATAGAGCCGAAGAGGTTGCTGAATATTTATTCAAAATACGTGATGATTCTGTACAGCCAAGAGAATTTCTCGGTACAGATTCTGAGGATGGGATAGAGTCTATACTCACAGAGCGTCAGGGTCATTCATTACACGGATTCATTGACGGAGAGACAGACGGGTGAGACAGACTTAGCCTTTTATCGATTTTGATTTACCGCAAGAAACATTAAACATAATTGAATCCAAACTCACGCGTGAGAAAGTATTGGGATTCCTTATTCGAGCTTTAAAGAAGTTTGTTGTATGTCAATTTGGCATCGACATAAAATTGGATAATCTATGAACGCAACGTATGTTATTATTTATTATCAAAATGATGTATGCATATTAATATACTGTATGTTAACCATATTATATCGTAATGCTCAATCACATATCAAAGTTAATCATTTGTTTCAGCAAAAAAAAAACTGAGCTTATTACAATCCGAACTTTTCGCTTGCTATTATTATCTTTTAATATTGGGAATAAAATTACATGCAATTCGGGTCCGGTTCATTTCATCGACAATCATTTCACCGACAGTACGTTTCACCGACATAAATTTCATCGAAAACCAATGATAAGTGCGATAAACAATGTGTCACGTGAAATAACTGTCGGTGAAGTGTACTATCGGTGAAATGATTGTCGATGAAATAAATGCCTCCCATGCAATTCTATAAACAGGCATTTCCATAAACGACTTATGATTAATATACTATTTTTCAGAGTATGTCATTTATCAACCAGTCTGTATATTTACTGTTGTCGCTTGATCATTAACCTCATAAGAATGTAAGTAATAATATACGTGGCTTATGATTTATTAATAAAGCTTTTATACAAAATTATATCGTATAAGGCATAAGAATATGGTTATATCGTTATTTTGTTGCTAAATTGCATCGATGTTCTTTACACTTTACACTATTCCCTCCGCATACATTTTCATTATGACAATCTGATTCGTACGATAACTTGCTTGATGTTTTTGTCATCATTAGTATAGAAGCAAATGTCTTTCAACCATCGAAATATGTATTATATCCAACTGGTATTTGAAACTAATGTCAAGTGTCGAAGCATTCGTGGAGAATTCTATCTACCGCATTATTAAATAACGGGGTCAAATGTCATAAAGTTTTAGTCTTCGTTTAATCTGTCAAATTGCAATATTGTATATTAGTTAGACTATCATATGCAATCCAATCATCGTACGGTTGATCAAAATAGACTATATTTACAGTCTAACCGTGATAGATTATATTTACAGTCTAACTATAATGCTAAAACTCGTACCAATAGTTTTCAATGCAAATCATTGTCAAAATAGACTTATTTATAGTCTAACCGTAAAACTTGTACCTATAATTTTCAATGCAAATCATTGACACAAATATCGAAATACAATCTAACCATAATACCAAAGGATAGCCATTGTATGATTACTACGTTGAAATGCTAAAAACTATACCAATAATTTCATGTCAAATACAAACATCAAAATACAAACATCAAAATACAATTTAACCATAATGCTAAAACTTGTACCAATAATTCAAGCAAAACCATCGTATGACTAGATGATTAGATCCACACGCATTGATAAAAAGCGACTACATTTACTATTACTATCTAACCGTAAACTACTAAATTACTGTCAATATCCAATAATTTCAAGCAAATAAAATTCGACAATCATAGAGTCAATACAATACTTCAAGCGACTCTTACAATACATACTAATAAACTCGTTAGTATAATAACGATAAATCACGCAGTTACTACTATTACCAAAGGTTTGATTCTTTATTGTAATATTGAGTTTTACCATACCCACCAAACGCCCCATCACCGATACCAAGTTTTTTAATCTTTTTCTGGGATTCAAAGCTCAACCGGCAAGAGAAATTAAATCGATTTTCCTGGAAAGAAGATTTTCGGTCCAGAACTCTGGGAAATATTGGGACGCTTTAATAGTAGTTGTATTCAAATACGAAAAATAACTGTTATGAATAAAACAGGTATGTCTAGTGGGGATGCCATAAATACAACGATCATCTCAAATCGCTTATTACTTAACAGTTGAACGCAAAGGTATCGAACCAAAAGTCATAAAAGATTATGCCGGCATTATGTACTAAATAACCATGATTCTCCACTCCGAATAGAAATACACATACTGGCCAAAAGCATTAGTCACTCATAGTAAAAACCTTTAATTTTGAAAATCTCTATCGTCCGTACGTACTATGTGATTTTTTACCATTTTTAAGCCAATTGATTGTATTTTTTGACAAAAATAGCGTGAACTTAAATTATCCACTGTAATGAAGAAGTAGTCCGATAAAGTGGCGTATTTATCTTACACATAAGATTTCCATACGGTTTAATATGTGTAACATGAATACGCCCGATAACAGGCTGAATATGTCATTATTTTGAAAAATACAATAAATTAGCTTCAAAAATTATTGCAACTTGCATAGTACGCATGGACGATAGGAGATTTTCAAAATTAAAGGTTTTACAATGAGTGACCAATAGTATGTGTAGATGATCAGCGTAATATATGTTTGATGTTACAGATTGTAAAAGCTGGTTTTAAAAATCTTCGATTTTTCGCATAATGTCTTGCTAAAGAATTAACTTTTACACAAAAGACAAGCATTATTGCAATTAAAATTAGGCCACAATAATGCAGAAATTGCAAAAGCTGTGGAATGTCATCGAACAATAATTACAAGATGCGTTGCAGCTTATGAATTGTGAGCTATCAACCGACTATGCTTTATGACAACCATAAGACAAATATTGAAGGCTATGGTTCTCAAAAACAAATATCTACAAAAACAAAAATTTTGCATTTCTGTATACATAGTGTATGTACCTCGAAAAAAGCCTTTTATTTCGGGCAGTAGAAAGAAGACATTGGACTGTGAGGGACTGGAAAAAAAATCTGGGCAGATGGGTCTAGGTTTTCAGAATGTGAAGAAAGTCAGGAGAGAATTCATGAAGATTGCATTCATTAACAGGAAAACATTCTCCACAAAAAATGAAGCATGATTCATTACGCGAAAAATCGAAAATGGTAGATTTTTAAAACCAGCCTTTACAATCTGTAACAGATCAATATTAAATCAAAGCAATAGGCAAAATCCGTTTGGCTAATATATAGACTAATATGGTATAAAAATTACGTGGGCGGCTACATATTAACAATTTTATTGAATTCGACCATGCAATACTTTTTGTACAGATTAAACCAAAGCAATAGGCGAAAATCCGTTTGGCTAATATGCGACTATGGTATAAAAATTACGTGGACAATTACCATAAAACTCCAACATATGTACCCCCATGAGATGTACCCTCCACCAGTTTCAGAAGGCAGGTTTTGATTTATACCCAGGTACTAAATATTTTGGCACTTTGATTTATAGCCCATTCTGTTAGTATCGATTTGAAAGTACATACATATGTTAAGTCAGTTACAATATTAATATGTCAATATTACGTGTATTTCGCGTCGTGTCACCCTTTTTTTTCCCCAATCGGCAATTGTGATTAATACGGTGTACTAAAAAATCGATTAGGGACCCCGAGTACACATGTTGGAGCTTTGCGTTCCTTTATTAGCCGGGTACACATGTTGGAGTTTTACGGTACATATTAACAATTTTATTAAATTGTCTGCATTTCGACCGTGCAATACTTTTGGTACCCCCTGTATGTAAGGATAGTACTGCATATTTTAAGCGTTTAGCCAAAGTTCTGGGACATCCCGATGCACCAAGTGTAATTATGTCTTATCTACTTAGTCTGGATATCTCAGATTGGAGTATACAAGATATTCCTAGCACAAAATGATAATGCGCGACCGGTTACCAAATTGTGTTCGATTCATAATTGATTTTGTTTTATCATGGGCCGAGAATCAAGTTGAAAAGCTAAGTTGCAGTGTATTATATCGGGAATATCGTACGCGGTGTGAAGCTAACGGCGAAAAGCCATTCACTAACAATATGTTTGGTGAAAAATTTTCACAAATCGATATTAGATACGGCTCAATGAGAAAAGAGAATGGGTATACATTCTTAATCGATCCAAAATTGTGACCTTTTGCAAATATTACACCAAGGTTAGATACTATGGATAATACAGTGGGTCCTCCCTAAGTGCAACCACCCTAAGTGCGCGGTTAACACTGGGTCCCATGAGGGGACCTATTGATTAGATGCACGTTCTTTATTCTGCAAGTTCTCAGCCCATCTATAGTATTTCCATCCCCTAAATGCACGTCATGTGATTAGATCTTTTATAATAAAATTTTCAATCCGAAAGAACAGAAAATAGCATTAATTACATACAAAAATACGAATCCAAGCACTAGTAATGTTGACCTTGCCAAGTGGATAAAGCAATCATATAACCTTGTTGTCCATCCCAGTACTATTGGTCGTATACTCAAGCGAAAAATAGATGACATCGTTGGGAATGGTTCTGCAAAGAGACAAAAAACTGTTCGATATCCAGAATTGGAGAATGCATTATTAGAATGGATCCTTCGAAGCCAAGACAAAATAATATTGACATGAGCAATATTATTGGCTATCTTCATGATTGGAATCCCTACTGTATTTGGCATTTATAGATACAACAGTCTGTCCAGCAAATTAAATCCTTTATTGCATCTAACTTTTCTGACATATCAGTTTTCCCCCTCTAATTATATTGTCACCATCTGATCATGATATAACCCCCCAGCGAAAAAATTTTCTTTACCTATTACTATTAATCTCAGACCACACAAGTACATGTTGAAAATCAAGAGAAACCAAGTTTTTCCTACTTCTTGACAAGCTTACAACAGCACTTTACAAACAACTTGACTGGTTCAAAAATAAAGGTTCTGAAGAAGAAAAGAAATCAGTCAAAAGGATACTTGAGACAATATAAGGTGAGGTCACACTTTGCAAGTTATATGGCAGTTGTGGCAGGGAGGATGGGGGACTATGGTTCCTGCTCTTGTATGGACTATGGTTCCTGCTCTTGTATGGAATATGGTTCCACCTTATTGCAACTGGGATTACAGTAAACCACTAGACTATGGTTCTTAAGTGGTGATGGACTACAGTTCTGCTCATGAACTTACAGAAGCATGGCTGTCTGATTTGGTTTTATTTATTTATTTATTTATTTATTTATTTATTTATTTATATATCTTTTATAAAAAATAGCCAGCAAAAATTAATTCCTTTATAGGAGGGTTTAGGTACTGATGGATGTATTTATGATTTTTGGGCTGATGTGATGGCTGAGAAACAAGCAAACTTACAAGAGTCAAAGGTTACTGCAAAAAGTTCATGAATTAAAGGTAATAGAGAGTTTTTTTCTTCAGCATTCATTAATAAAATTCAGGCCATTCATTCTTCCTTTATTTTGTTCCCCATAGCAACATTTAACAATCACTACTGTTACAACAAAACAAGTGGAACAGTATGCACAATTCACAACCTTCAAGAGCAGGTGGGGGGAAAACAAAAAGATTTCAAGGACAAGAATGATATAAATGCATTGTCTCCCACTTTAACATTCGATACAACATGCTCATTCAACCATGGATTGCGCAACTTTATCCAGGGTCAACTGTCTCTATTACGCGCAAATTATGAAAGTTAGTATTAGCTATAACCATGTTACTTTGAAGGTGAAGGCTTTAACAATATTGGAGTTGTTATTTACTACTGTTTATTTAAATTACTAGATATCAACCTTAGGTGGAGAGTTTATAATTCACAAAAAGGTAATATAAATAACTCAAATTCTCTTTTAATGAATCATTTGATTCCTGAATTCTAACAAACCACATTTAGAGAACTGAGAAAAAACCAACATATACTGAACCAATAACTGATGACAAAGAATTTGAGGTATGAAGAAACCATATCAAGGGAACATGAATCTGATAATGTATATTATTTATTTACATGAAGAAGCTATGTTGTTCTTTGAAAAAGATCAGATGGACATGGAAAGCTGAAAGAACTAATGTTTGTGAAGTTAAGCTATTGATATGGTAACAGCATATCATTAAACAATTAATTTACAGAATTCAAAGTATCTGTAATATACGTTTGCAACATATTCTGACAAAGTAAGCAATTGAAAATCTTCATGTAAACTTTTTTAGTTTGAATTGACTACACTTATATCATTATTATCGAATATACAATCTGAATGCAGACTAATTTCTTTCTTGCACTATTGTAAATTTTTTTTCCAAGGAAGCAACAGGGTGAAAAATTGCATCTTTTGTTTTTAAAATCAATGATACAAAATTCTCAGGAACATCTAGATAAAGAAATAATTACTTGCAAAATTTGTCAAGAAGAAAGAAAACTAATAAACATTTAAGAAAAGAAGGCAGGATGAGAATGTACCTTTACAAAACAATGTTTTTCACATTTATTCAATCTCTTCATTCCATCAAACACCATGCTTAGCATCCCATTAGGCCTTCGCCTATCATTTCGTCTTCATCAAGAAGGTAATTAATTTGTTTACGTGCTGCGTTCATCTTGCACGGACTCGGATAATAATTTCCCGTCGAGATACGCGTACATTTGGTGCTCAATCGTAACTGTAATGAGCAGTCACGTTAATGCTACAATAATCAACTGTACCTTCCATCACAAGATAATTCTAATTTTCTTTGTTCATGCAGGGAGAGGAAACTGAAAGTCTTCTTCCTCCTCTATCTCATCATCTTCATCTGAAAACTCATCGCGCACTGTTTCTCGCAACACCGTCAAGAAAACAGGTCCTCTTTGCAAGTCATTTAATTGATAGTAAAAGAAAGGAAGAAAGAAAAAGGCAAGATTTATGAACACAAAAGTACTTTTGCTTGGAAATAAATGCTATTTTTAAGGATTGCAGTCGATTCGGAACGAAAACACGGAACGAAAACACGGAACGAAAACACGGAACGAAAACACGGAACGAAAACACGGAACGAAAACACGGAACGAACGCAGAAATTAGCGCCACTCTCTGATCGGTTGTTTTCACATTTGCGCAGAACAGGGTTTATAACGTTTAATCAGTCCATGAAAATCGTTATTACAAGAATTGGAGATAGAATTTCGTATTATATTCGATAATCTCTTAAATGACTATAGGCAGTCAACGAGGTTCGGTTCTCACTCATTGGACATGGAGTAGATACAGGACTTATGGTTTGCATGACATCACTCATTGGACATGGAGTGGATACAGGACTTATCATTTGCATGACATCACTCATGATAATCCTTGCAGCTTCTGGTGCGGGAGTCCTCAGCAGCTTTGAAGGCGGCAAAGAGAATTGCATAGTCACTGGCGGGGAGAAACCCAAGTCACTATTTGTCGACAATTGCGATAGATCGTTGATTGCTACTGGTGAACCACCTTTTAGAGATAGGTAGTTCGATAGAGTGTTATTCGACGCCGAGTAAGTATCTAAGAACTGGGAGAAACCCAAGTCACTATTTGTCGACAATTGCGATATATCGTTCGACGGCGAGTAAGAATCTAAGGACTCGAAAAAGCTCAACCAGAACTGAAATTGGGACCAGGGACTTTAGTATTGCGATCTTTTGGATATATCAAGCCAGGGTTATCTACCTACCTTAGTGTTATCCCATATGTCCTTTGATAATTGTGCAAAGCGTTCGACCTGTGGTAACACTCGCGTAGCTACTATATGATGGCTTGTGGAAAAATTGTGATCTATTTCTTGTAGTGTTAGCGTAATGTTTTGCTCTATCTTTTCTAAGCGTGCAGTCAAGTCGTTTACGGAAGCAAGAGTCATGTTGTTTGAATTTTCGCAGCAATTGCAGACGCGATTTTCATTCATCCTGGCTGTGTAACATAATGCATTAATCCGGCGTGTTCCTGGCTTCAGCAGTCTGTTATATTGTATAATAGCAGATTAATTGAGAATAGTGTATCGTTCCGTCCTGTGCTATTTGCCTGCTAAGTCTTGGCAGAAGATAAACATGGTTCGTGTGGAGTCAATAAGTGATGGAACTTGAGTGATGGCTATTCAGAATCAGAATACTTGTTTTGACTTGCGCTAATAATGATAACCACGACGAGTTATTTATTTGTCACGTGCGATATTGCGTCGGCAATATTTATCAAAGATCAGAGACACACCGGCGACCGTAGACTGTTGCTTTTCATGCATCCTATGAAGACATTACCGAATATGACAGATATCAAATAAATGGTAATCATGCTGTGCGAGTATAAAGCTACGTCGGAAGAGCCTAATGATTTGCCTCGAAAGATTTAATGCTTACCTCAGACGCCTCAACTTGATATATTCGAGGCTGAAACCCATCGGCTAAATACTGAAGGTTGGTCTGCTTCGGTTTATTAATACCTATAGCGAATGCTTAATTCATTTATGGTCGAATATGACTACTAAAGCAAACGAACATGCGATGTTACTCGTCGCAGTATCACCAGCACTGCAATAACAAGACGTCGATAAGGACCTCGGAAAACCATACATCCATGTTGTACTCGGCGAAATAGTATGGACTTTTACTTGCGGACTGGCAAGGAAATGATGATGATGTGCAGTGGCTTTTAATTGGAGACTGCATCAACGATTAGACAAAACTATCGTTAGCTTCGGTGTCTGCAGAAGGAAAAGATCAGGATCAACAGATGCTGTTGACCAAAATAGTCTTCAGCTGTTCTATTTGCGAGTGACCTTGGAATATTGAGTATGCTATAATTGATATAAGGGATGAAATCAGCGTCTTTAGTTGAACGTCTGGTATACCAGTCCGCTTATATCTGACAATAATTTTTATAGGCGACAGCATTACCGCCATCGCGTCACGTTCATGCGTATTTTCCAAATATGGTGAAGCATGTAGATGTACAATCGACGAGAAAAGAGGATCCGTCACCAAGCCATCTGCTAATAAATGAGTAGGAGCCATATAAACAATTGACCCGTTGACCGCCACCGTGTTGGTGAAACAAATTACTTTTTAACATCGGTTGGTTTATTACATATGCTATGACTCTGAAGTTTATAATCTTCAACATCTGTCGTTGGGAATTCAACGATAAAATTGTAACGAATGTTATAAATTTCGCAACATCAAAACGAAGCTGTCAACTGAAGGAGACCCGATCTCCCATCCCTGAGATGAACACATGATTACACATAATCAGTTAGTGTTGTGCATTAGTGAATGCAAGCGATAAACATAACAATTGACGTGCGGTTCTGACCCAAATCGGGAAATTCGCATTATTGTATGACTGCATACTTTGCATTCCGATTTGGTCACAACGTTTCCCCTCTGGCTATTACTATTCGCAAGTTTAATTCCGGATTTACATACAAAGAAACGGTCACTATGGTAATAGTTCCGCTGTACAACCAGCCAGCAAGTTGGAATAAAACACAGACATTGTAGTGGAGTAAACACCGCATTGAACAGTATCATTTAACGTTTCGACAAAGTGGTAAACTAAATGTATACTTTTATTTCTATGTGATTCGAATACTTTTACTACAAATGATTATTCACATGTGAAATCCGCTAATTCTGGTAATGAATTAAAATGTCACAAGTTTGTGCGTCTTACGCTTGCTATGGTTCTATTGATCATGTGATCAATAAATGTAATGTCTGTTGGATCAATTAATTCCTGTACAGTAATGAAAGGTTCATTCACCATAGTTCATTATTAATTGTCTGGCCTAAGTTATTATCTTATCCCTAATAAATTCTTTAATCGCTCTTCTCTGTATTTCTCCTTCGCAGATTTGACTCGTTCACATCATTACTCCCAGCATATTGCTCTTCGACGTCAATCTTTCTTGCCTTTCTAATCCATCTTCGTCTCCTAGTCATGCTCTGCTCACCAGGAGCATTGCGAGGTGCTGGGTTTTCCCATTGATGATCAGTGTACACCCAACCCTCCTCATCTGGATCAACGTAAATCTCTCCATACTTGCTATCCTCCCATACTTTAGACAAATTAATAACCCAGTCTTCCTGAATCCATTCATATCCTTCTGGTGCCATTGGATTCTTGGGAGGGAGAGCAACTGATCCGGAGGCATTAGACCACGAAGCTCTTTCAGACCCGAGCAGTTGTGGAATGAAACCTTTATTAGCCCTACAAATAGCATGGAAGGAAAGTGATCTAAGGATATATTCAACTACGAAAAACAAATGTTGTCGTTCATATTATTATTTCTTGAATCATCTCTGGTTACTTACCACCAACGCTGATTCTCATATACAGATACAGTAATCTCATCGGTAGCGCTTTCCGTATCATCTTCCGTGGCAAGAAATTCACTCCACTGCTTACTAATTTCGTCGACTTTGTGTAAGAGGTAAGGACTCATCTCCTTTGCCAATGCCTTAAACAGCCTGGTGTTAGCAATAAACGCACCCAGTCCGGCCACGACAAACACATATCTCCATGGCACGATCCAAATAGTTAAACTAGCGATACCCAAGCTCACTACGGTGAACTGCATAATACGAAGACTCGCCTGCTCGTCACTCCAATCGACATACTTCAACAGCGGAATGAAGGCATCGTACCCATCTGAAATCATACCCATCATGTTTTGAATATTCTGCATGTTCTTCAAATAGTCAACGGAATTTTCTTCTGGAAGTACAGGAGCAGAACGTTTAGATTTCTTTTTTATCTTTTTCCCTTTGGAGGATAGTGTAGCAGAAGTTGAAACATTGGGGTATCTTTTTTGATAATACGATATTAGCAAAGCCAGGAGAATTATTAATGGTGCGAGAATCAGTAATCGCGGATAAAGACCTAGAGTCGGTAGAGATTAATTGTGAATGTCGCAAAGCATTCGGGGGAAATCAATACGAGTTTGCTCAATACATACATAGATACACATAAATGACCATAGCCAATATTGTATTGGCCGGATTCTTCCAAATAAATATATTCTCAACGGCGTCTTGAAATTCAAATATAAAGCCGCACTTCTGTACAAATTTTCTAAAGTTCACGGTAGTTGTCTGTAGATGCAGGGGTGGATGTGCTGGATTCGATTGCAACTTGGACGTGTTGGTCAAGTTCAACGCCGACGATATAAGCAAGTCTTGAATGACTTTTGTTGCATATGAAGGTTTAGTGGGCGAGACAGGTCGAGCAGCTTGTGGTGGAGCTGGCTGATCTTCAGCGTCTGAACTTATTTTAATATTAGGTACAGTTGTGGATATCTTAGGTATGGGAGGAACCCTACGCGAGCTAGCATTGGCGTCACTGACGAGTTCCATTGATGCTGAGCGGCGTAATGCAGACGGACGTGGCGGAGGTGGAAGTGTGGGAGGTGGTTTGGGAGCAGGAACAGTCGAGTTGGTGTTGAAAGTTAAACGCTTAGACTTTGGCCGAGGACTCTTGCTCATTATTTAATTAGTGTTGGGAATGTGTGGGCTGTGGGAAGGAATGAATGTCTTTTGTTTGTGAGGGGCGTATTGGTATATATAGTCGAGAAAACAACGTGAATGTCGTAAATAAGGATGCAACGAATTTCGTTGTTTATCAGTTTATTGATGTTCTTTATTTGGCATCGTTCACGCACTCCATGTGTTGTGCACCTGCTACATCATAGAAACACTAATTAAGATAATCGATCTGCAGAAAAGGATTATCAAAAAAAAAAAAAAAAAAAAAAGAAAAAAGACCAATGGGCATGAAAACTTGTTTCCTTATAGAAAGATTTCATTCGGGCGACTGGCACTACATAGTAATGTAACTGGTGATGCCTTCTGACTTAAACTGTGGAAAAGACAAAGCATTGAAAGCGTCACCTCTGAATTGATTGACAAGGAATACTGGAACTGTACGTTTAAACATAGTAATAGTAAAAGCGGACGTGAAAGTCTAATAATGGGCATTACATCGATCATGGAGCAAAATATATTTTTAGTCATTCCGGTGCCTTATTTCGAAGGAGATTGCTTTTTCCATAATAAATTTACGCTTACAATGGGTGGGACGTCATTAATACATTTTCGGCTACATGGAACCAAGTTATAATCATAACTTGTAGCATTGTTACAATTGGCACTTGTTAATTCAATCAAGTAGGCTTGGTCCTGCTTCTAAGTGGCGTTTACTTGACCTGAAGGTTGCTGGCATAATTATAAAAACCGAGTTTCTTAATCTACAGTAATTATATTAAATCCACTTGTTTTGTAAAAAGTTTGGGAGTTTAGGAAAACAAAAATTTCATTTACCACTTCATCAAATGCAAGTTCTTTCTGCCGCTTTGCATCGACCTCCCCGCCTCTTGGGATTTATTAAAGATAAAAAGATGACTATTTGCAAGCCGAAAATTAATGACTTTGCAAAAACTGCTATTATGTTTCAGACCTATATACAGTGCGGAATACTTGATCATCCGATTCAACCATGTTCCTGCGCGTTATCCTCGTTAACTCGTTTTCCTCTTCCATTTTTCATTCTTATTGCTAATCATAGCCATAACTGCCTTTATAACACCTTTAATTGTATCGCTGTTCCCATTATTGAACATCATTATTAAACCTTCACGTGAGAATGAGAACGATTCCGTCGTTACTTGCTTCAGCATTAGAGAAGACAAGTCAAATCGACTTGGGAGATAAACTGAGAGCAGTGCGGTTATGGTTGGTGGTGTGTGAATCACAGAGAGTGATGAGCTGTTGGAAATGAAAGGGGTAACTAAGGTTAGAACCGTGAGCGCGTGAATAGAGATCGAAGTTAGTGGAACGGTTAAAGAAAAAGACAACAAAAAGCTTGAGAGTATAACATGTTTTTGTGGGATTGTCATGTTATCGTCATGCAATGACAATGTGCCCATAAAGAATGCAAGTCAGAACGGACATAACTCATACAAGGCCTTTTGCTGAACAGCTAAATACTCAATTTATTGTCCGAGAGTCCATAATAATAATGTCCGATCCAAGAAATGCTGTTTGGAAGAAGTAGGCTTGGGTTGACATCCATAATTTTTTTTTCACGTACCATATATATAATTCATCCAAGTCAGGACGAAGAATGCTTATTGTCACTTCTCCAATATTCGCTTCATCCGGGAATTTGTACGTGAATTCAAGCGGTTTCTGTATCCGTTGATTTTCTTGGGTAAGAATTTGAGCTATACAGACAAAGCGTAAACGTTAATTTGTGTATTTCGTATATCCAGCAGAATTTAGACAAACCTTGACGAACTTCTGCGTTCTCCAAGTTATTCATCAACAAATGCAGTTGTATCTCGTCAAATAAGTATCTCATCGAATTACAGTTGAAGCGTATCCGTAACCATACGAGTATTCTATTTACAAGCAATGTCGGAGCATTTGTCAGGAGAAGCGGATAGTTAGAATGTAGCGCTGAAATGGTACATGAGAGGAGAGTGGGGGAGGAGCGCAATTAATAAAGCGAAGCGATACATTGTTCAACGATCACAAGCAAGATAAACTAGAAAGCAAACAAAAATCGGTAATAAGCTCTTAACATTCTTACAGTCATTTGATGGGCAATCATGGCTTGGGAATAATAAAGCATAGAAACACAAGTTATTCCATAGACCTGAACAAGACTATGAGTTAATATGAAAAAATAATATATTTCGACCAGTAATTTAGTGATTACCTCGCAAATCAAATCTCAGTTCTATAACAATTGGTGTTTCATCGTTTCCTAATTGCATAAAGAATATCCGTAAACTATCCACATATATTGCCTTTACGCTCTTTTATTCTCAACACATTCTTCGCGCTTCTCTTTCATCACGTCCTTCGCTTCTTTGCTGTTTATTTTCTCCTCTCTCTTACCATCCCATTCATCCTTTCGAATTTTCGTAATTTCCACAGCGATCAAATTGCCGTATTTCTTCACTCCCTCCAATAAACATTGTGAATCTGCATCCGCCGCAGCATTCTGGATGCCAATGAGAATGGTTGAGTAGAGATCCTTTGCATAGTTGACGACTTCTGTAAATTGAAAATTGTAAATCGATGTAGTTTTATATACAATAAAATTTTTATTATACAGGACGTCTGCAAACGAGAAAAACTGGTGAGTCGTAAGACGTGAAATTTGCTTTCGCATGCATATGAACCCAGAATGCGTCGATGACTCACCAAACCCTCTTTCAGAAGGCGGTTTTGCAGCCTCAAGTGCTGCCCGACGGGCTCTGGCCTCCATCATCCGCGTTCTCGCTGCCAACGGTCCATCGCATACTCTTTGGTGTCCAGAAATCTTCAACTTTATCCTTTTCCTCTCGGGTACATACTGTTGGGTTCCTTCACGTGATATCGCAACTTTCTTATAAGCTGCAACCATTTCCTGTTTGTCCGAACCCGTACTTTGTACATTTATGGCATAACTATCAGCCGATGCAGAACAAAAAGTATTAGCGTGTTCACGGACTGTTTGAGCCGACAGAGGTTGGACAAACGGAAGAGTGGGATTTGTTGAGTGAGCATTATTAGTATGCAATGAAGGAAGGGTAGTTTTGGGGGGTCTGCCTCGAGATCGGTTTAATATCAATGACATTGGGCAACAACGGGGTGGATTTATGTAAGACGTTAGGCAAGAAAGGTAATTGAAGAAGGAAGCAATTGAAATTCGAACTAGGGTTGGGGAAATTAGGAAGTAGTCCAACAAATGGAGCGATAATCAATGATTTCACGTGACTTAGGGATATTCACCTAATAAATCAAACATTATGGCACCGCTGGCATTAAGATGAGAAATAAAGGTCATTACAACATGAAAGACAGTAATGCGATGTACAGCCCCGGCGAAAATATGGCAGCCACATCATCACAAACAAACCCAGTAAAAAAATGTATAATACCAAAACGTAAAATAGTTGTATAATATGCGATTTATACATGCGTTTCGATATTCATCTCACTTTGTATTTGCGAAATTCAATTCAATAGTCCTAACTTTAGAACATAGTGAGTGAACTGATGAGAATGTATATAAGCAGTTGTAGTCTCGATGGCTAACAGCATCGAAAATCGTGCAATCGGTAAATCGAAAAATTGATCAAGTATCGCACCGATAATCCTTCGGTTCGATCAATTGTAATAATTAGAGTGGCTCTTCATACTCAATAAATTATATTTATTGGTTTAGCATATATTAGGAATTTGACCTTGTCTATTGAATTTCCGAGTTTGGCAAAGATACGATTGCTAATTAATTGTTCTATAGACGCGTACTTTAATATAAACATTCCCGATCATGCTTACAGACTATCGAATTAATCCATCGATAGGAGCAGAGGCTGTCACAATCAAGAGTCTGCGTATACAGACCGAACGTATAGAAAACCCAATTTAAGGTCATTAGAAGAAGTTAAATCTCAAGGTTAAGTGGTAATCAACTAGACAACTAGAGCGCAATGCGGAGAAATTCTGTGCTGTACTTTTGTAGATTCTGTATTGATACATTAATTACCAACTCTTGACGTAGTACAGGTCGCAAAAAAGACAAATCTCGAATTACACTTTTCTGTGCTGGGAACGAAGAAGATAAAGCTCAGTTTTATTCATATAGGCCTCGATCTATGAAAAGCCTAAATTACAATAACTTGCCAGTGTATTACTACTGGAATAAGACAGCTTGGATGCAAGTCAGCATCTTTAACGAAAAAAATTCTAATAATATGATGATTTGCAAAGATGGCATTACAAGCACTCTTACTGCTTATGCGATATATGATGCACTAATAATGCAGCAGAAGCATGGTTCAATGTCTCCCCACAAAAAATACGAAATTGTTGGTTAAAAACTGGTATTCTTCCAGAATAATAGACGGATTGGATTAAAAAGCTTAAATAACCCGACCTTCACAGGACAATATTGTTGAATGGCTTTATTTTGATAGTATTTTTATTAATTTGTCTACAAGCAGTTGATAAAGGTGTTATTCTATTTTCAATCTTGAATGTTGTTACATATACTTAATTAAATAAATGTTGTGCAAAGTGTATTAACCGAAATTGCTGTCACATGACACAATGTAGCAAGCTCTGGTTATAACGAACTCTGGTTATAACGAGCTAAAATCCTCCAGCCGGCCAGTTCAGTATAGGCAGCATCAACTGTATATAACTTTTTTTAATTTAAAAAAAGTGACATTCTAAAGATATTCAGCTAACTTGTAAGGGTATTCAAATAATTCCCCCTGACCATTGTAATAAGAATAAGAACATTACAATAGTGAAAACAACAACAACACCTAGAGCTAATATTCATTCACACTCCAGTCCCATGCATAACTTCTTCTTCTTTCTTCTTTTTTTCTTTTCTTTTTTTTTCTTTTTTTTAAAAAAAAAGACATTCAGTATAAGAAAATTTCTAATATTATAAAGAAGATATTCAGCTAACTTGTAAGGGTATTCAATTAATTCCCCAGACCATTGTAATAAGAATACGGAATATTGAAAAATATTGAAAAATAGTGAAGAATAGTGAAAAAGAGCTAATACTTCCAGTCCTGTGCATCAATTTCAATTTTTTTCAGTGTGATTATGATTGAGATCATCCATATGTTGTCAGTTCTGGACTGAGACAGGTCCCAAACCAGACACAATACATACATCTTTCAACTAGCAGCTTTAGAGGTCCATTTTAGTTGCGTCTAATAAAAGACACGAAACCATACATCTTTCAACATCTTCGTATTGAAAATTTATAAGTGAGCACGTTTGCTTTAATATAATACAAACTTTGCATCATGAGTTTCATCAAAACATTGTGTGGAGGTTCATGAAATAAGATAGTCTTGTTCTGTAACTGAATAATATCTCGGACTGACGAAAAGTGTCATTTCTATTAAACAAGTACTCATATCATTTACATGTTTGTGGCATCTCGGACAGACGCATTTGAAAATTATGTCATTTCTACCGGACAAATACTCGCATCATTTATATGTTTGTAACATTCTCACCTTTAAAATTATAAATAGTCAACCACAAAATTGCAGTATAGCCGAATTGTAATATCATTTACACCATTATTATTCATCTGTCGTAGCTTTCTGACGGCCGGCCGCTCAGTCTCAAATTATTATTCTCATCCTGATTCTTCGAAATTCATCCTTTAATCGGCTTTCCTGTGAGCTTTTGTGTCAGTAATGTCGTTACATACAAGTGGTTAATTGTTTAAGCATTTGCAATCGTATTGTTAATATAAATTGTATTTCTTGACTTACTTTTTCCGAGCGCCAGCTCAATTGAAGGGGTTGACACGTTTCTTACCCATCACTGCCATAGTCAGAATCTCAAGACCACGGAAACTCACATTAATATCAAATTAACTAACTGGGTTCAGCCAGCACAATCACCAAAGCACAAGATTATTGAAAAAAAGTCTTATTAAAGTGGGTGTTTTTTATTAATTTCTTTAAAGCATTAATCATTGAAAGCTTTCTTTGTTGTCTATATCCACATTTGTTATATCACGTGAAAATATGTCATATTTTTTTCTTTGCTGGGAAGGAAGAACAATGCCGTTTCTTTAGACATGGGAAAAAAGAAACCAAATTCGTCACGACATCGTAGTAGATTTGTCCGCCACTATGGCAATGACAATAAGCGAAGCGAGCCAGCTATGAGGTCACACCATTGATTTGACAATAGATTGGCAGCAGTATCCGGGTTGTACTTTTATATCTTATTGACGTCTGCATCAACAGATCAGATTCATTGTCAAATTCAGCCAAAGAAGGTTCATATCATATTCAAGTCGAATGATTTTTCGCTCAGATGTACCGTAACCAAACTTTTTTCATTAAAGATAATGAACAACGTTCGACTAGTATTCCGATGCCATTGGCGATGTGGGTAAATGCAACAAACTCATCAGCTAATCTAATTCGCCGGCAATGATTATAAAAAGCTTTGCTTTACTTGGGAAGGGGGGGTGGGGTTACGATGCTCTCGCTATGTATTTTTAACTTTGTTTCATACACATATTTTATTAAGGACTTTGATCATTGTGATCCCAAACGATGTTCGGGTAAGAAACTTGCTAGGCTGAGAGTAGTTAACATCATTAGGACTACACACAGATTCAGAGGAATAGTGTTAAGGTAAGGTACGATTGAAAGGCCTAATGAATTTGTTATGGACCATACGTGTTGTATAATTATCCTATACTCAAGTTCGATCACGCCTACTCTGTAATTAGTCCAAATGGTACTCAGGCAGTCTCGCCAGCCGACCGATCGATAGTAGCCGAACATGGATTAGCCGTTGTCGATTGTTCATGGGCTCGGTTGGAAGATGTCCCGTTTAAAAAGTTGAAGACATCTCATGATCGATTGCGTATGTATTTCAAAGTCAAATAATCGATAGTCTATAGGTATGATATCATAAGAACGATTACAAGGAACCTTGGACGACGCATTGGATCTGCCATTCGGAAATTGATTTACAACGTTCTATATAGTGCCATATTTAGTTGCCACTAATCCAGTAAATTATGGCCGACCTTGGAAACTGAATTGCGCTGAAGCCTTTGCTGCTTGTTTCTATATTACAGGTCATCAACAGATTTAGGTCAATCTTGATAAGCAAATTCTTGAGAATTAAATATCGAGCTCCGATTACTGACACCAATTGCTGATACCGATATTTGAACAGGCTTTCCTGAGTATGCAGAAGAAGTCCTAGGCAAATTCAAATGGGGCCACGCATTCGCCAAAGTCAATGGGTATGTAAACCGAACAGATCATGTGAATCGGTTGTTGTAGCTACTCTGACCGTTCTATATGTCGATGTTGTAAACATTTGTTAGAGAACTCCTTAGACTATATTCTGGATGCAAGGATTCAACAGAAGTTGTCAAAGTACAAAATGAATGGCTTGATAAGATTGAGCAGGAACAAGTTCAAAGACAGGCGAATGGTGTGTAGTTTGTGATTGTCACTTTTATTACCTACGTGTAGCCACAGAAATACTCTTATTCAACCGCGACCTTAATATGTACATATTATTTTCTAGCTGATGACGATGACTTGCTAGTGAGAAATATAAATCATGAAGGATGGGAAAACGAGGACGACGATGACGACGATGACGACGATGACGACGATGACGAAGATGGCAATGGTAATAGTGATGATGGTGATGATGGTAGTGATGGTAGTGATGATGGTGACGGTGATGATGGTAGTGATGAAGAAGATGACAATAATGATGAAGAGTGATAGGTATTAGTGAGTAGAGGATGAAAAACGAATATAAGCAATAATTCCGTTCATTTACCAAATCATCGTAATCGTCACGTGTCTTTTTTCGTTTTCCAGCAACCATATCCTTCATTCTTGGAATAAATTCCTCAAATCCAAGTTCTTGTATTCCTTTAATTACATCGTCAGCGATAATAGTCTTTTTCCCTCTGGCTCTGGCTGACTCGTTCGAGCTGGATGTAAAGTCACGTTATTGTTATCCGAACAGTAAACCAAAGTCATCTCTCTTGTACGAGGGACTTACTAGTTAGTCAGAAAGCTTATAAAGACAGTGGTGCACTTTGTTACTGCCATACGCGCGTCTTTTTGGAATAATGCATTGTTGTCGAGCTAGAATTGTAATGGTGGGTTGAATGTGGAGTAATGTGGGATGGGTGTTTGCATTGCAAAGACAAGATGCGTCGAATGAGTTGCGTCAATTAGTTAGTCAACTTACAGCCTTTTTGGCTACTTTGGTTATTGAGGCTGCTGGAAGGTCTAACTCGTCTATTCCAACCATTATAATTGTAAACTGACGCGTCTACGTGTATTAGAAAATTGGGTCAAGAATGTTTATTCACGTGACAAGCATTTATCGGCATTGTTATTATGTTTACCCGTTCTCCAGGCAAATCAATCATTCCATGCGAAGATCAGATGAATTCGAAGACATAACGGAAATGTTTGATAAACGCATGATTGGCATATGATACAGATTTGATACTAATATGTACATATAGTCAACTGGGGAAGGGGGGGGGGGGGGCAGGGATATATCATGATGTAAAATGGTTGATTAATCGACAATTTTTCTCCCCCTTCTCCCCTGAAGATGGCATAGCTTTGATACGGTTCTTGTTGATGATGGTACAGTTTTGCTAATGATGTAACAGGTACGTACGTGCAACATTGTAAAGAACACAGTTCCCACATAAACTGGTTTCGAGATGTCTCGGCCCATAATCAGCTTGTCAAATGTTCCATTCTTGTCAATCAGTCTTCCATTATGCTCTGCCAAGTAGCCCTCTCATTGGAACGTTCTTTTTTCGTACACATTCTTGACCACTTTTGACACGCCTTCGCTGAAACACTCAACCTTAAATCTAAATATATCCACCTGTCAAACAACACAGCCCCTTCTCCCCTCTTTAAGAAATAATTAAGTTACATTCTAAACCTTGTTGTGTTTGATTGCTTTGTTTCGGTTGATGGGAGAGAGATAGGGAGAGAACGAGTCATTTGGAAGAATGACGTTCTAACAAAGAGAGCTAGTTTCCAGCTTGGTATACATGGCTAATGATACCGGAAAGTGAAATCCAATCAATCGACTGTGGAACAAGGACCGGAAAGCATACTCCTGGGACAAATAATACAATATCAGAGACAAAAATGATAATGATAATGATAATAATAACGGAGAAAAACAAGTAGACAAAAATGATTGGGTGACAACAAACTCGATACGAGATTAGTACTTGTTAAGGAATGCATAATAATTAATAGTCAGATATCAATGTCTATCGCAATAAGTTGATTGATGATCCGGATGCAAGTGATCAGTTTATGACGGCGGTTGATGTTTGGTAATAATCAAATATATGCAATGTAAGATGTCGATTAATGGTGGGTAAGTTTGCAACGTTATGAAAGGTAAAGTTGATGCATACGTTAGTGTCAATGTCAATGTCAAAGTCAAAGTCAAACAACTAAAACAGGTAATAAAGACACTGATGATACATTCGTAGTAATTACAGTGGACTATGGTGAAGTGATTGCAGCAATTACAGCAATTACAGAATTACAGCAATTACAGAATTACAGCAATTACAGAATTACAGTGATTACAGTGATTACAGCAATTGCAGTGTTTACTGCCCATACTAAACCACAGTCTCTTTGTAATATACATGTAATATACTTTTGTAATTGTGATATACTTTGTAATGATTTTTTATACATATTGGGCCATTATTATTACCGTTATGTTATGTTACTGTAATCAAGGAATGTGGGACAGACTCTTAGCATTCTCCTTAATATGGCATACCCCTTATTCGAAATTTGCAAATCTCCCGCCTAAACCCGCGGAGACACATACAGTAATTAGCAAATGAGGAAGAAACGTATTAGGTAAGATGAAAACGAGTTATTAAGTAAGCCGATGACTGATTAACTCGAGGTTGGTCATCGGCATATTTGTTGCCCATTGTCAATAAAGTCAGATATCGAGAAGTTTACAAACGTTGAAAACGTTGATTGGAGTGTCTATTTGGTTAGCATACGAGATCACAAGTATTAAATGAGCATTGGATAAGGCATGGTCAATGGTGCGTGCAAGTGGGGTAGGTATGTGCAAGTGGGGTAGGTATGTGCAAGTGGGGTAGGTATGTGCAAGTGGGGCAGGTAGTTAGTATTAGGCAGGTACACCTTCTAGGAAAGAACTGGTTGTGCGTGATCGATCTTTCAAACAATTCGTATTTCCTTGTGTAATGAAACCAAGTCTCAAATCACATAAACCATTGGGCATGCATCCCACTTTGTCAAACACACCCCATATTAATATCCCGCTCCTGTCCCAAAGCCTGCTTCCCACGCGAACACATGGAAATTTTAATTGCCCATGAGGGGAGAAGGTGGAAAAGGGGGTACGTGAAGAACAATAAGCGAACAAGAAAGCAAGCAATAATAATAATATAATAATAGCAATACAATAATAGTAATGTAATAATAATAATGTAATAATAATAATAACAACAATAATTATTTATCATCACGATAACAAATAATCATTATCACAATCAAAAGCATGAGATTTATCCAAAAAAAGTATTGTTATCAGTAGTGATATTGTTGTCCCAAATGTGATTCTGATGTAGACTATTTCAGTAAAATGCACATGTTAGAATGAAACAAAGAAATCTAATCAATGTGCATATATTATAGTATTTTAATGTGATATAACCACATCATCACAATAGAATACATCTATACAGTATATACAATATATACACATGACGTACTGTATATCACCCCAATCAAGGATCCTAGTTACAAAATGAATAGCCATATCAATATTGCTTATGACTACCGTATGTCATTGTTTGGTACAAATAATACATTTGACACAATTTGACACACTAATGCGAATGCATCAATGCATGTTATTATCATTATTAGCATTAATATGTTGATTATCAATCATTTTACGCGCAACCGTTTTAAATTGGATACATTTTTGTTTTCTGTATTGAAATAGATGCAACGAATACAATTATTGCGATCATCAGTCTGGTTGGATTTGTCACGGTCTTTTCCTCTCTTGGAGCCACAATGCGTAAATCCAAATAACTTGTTCGCTGCCAATTGGTGTAAGCGATATCAAGGGGGGGCAATAATAATAAATAAAGAAAACGAATAACATTATGCTCAAGTCACGTGAAAGTAATTGAGTTACTATATCACCTGATCGCCCCTCGGTTTGTGGGATCAACAACCAGTTCACACACAAGATGGATCCATGACTATGACATACATGACATGACATACATGACTATGACATACATGACATACATGACATACATACGATAATAAAAATAACAACACACACACACCTGTCAAAAAGTCGATTGATTGATTGATTGGCTGAGGGATGGATTATTATCATTTGTGATTTCCCGCCAAAAAAGAATCAATCTCGGGATTGTCCAATTGGTCTTAATGTCGCGCAAATCTTATACGGTACAATCAATAAATGCACAAAAATAGTAACCAGACTGAACACGGCAAGATAGACTATACAACATGAGGTAACCCATCAAACTTTCGACATGCTGTAATAGTAAACCTTTGTTACGCCAACCAACGAGAACAATCTTAATATGCCCCAAAGTTCACACAATTTACCATTCTCGTGACCCCAATGTATTCGTGTACGACTGTGGCTCTGCCATGTCATTCAATGGTATCAGCGTGTGAAATTGATTTTTGTTATCTTTGACGGTAGATACTGTATTGACATCTCTGTACACGATTACACGATCATTACGACAACGCATTATCTGGTCTCATGACACAACAGAAAGATAACTGATGGAATAAAGGGGAGTCCAATGAGTACTATATAGGAATTGACACATATGGTTTGATTGACACATATGGTTTGATTGACACATAGGCTAGGCTATACATCAATTAAAATATATTTAATTGTCTTAACAATAACTTAAACTTTAATGTCCCCCTCCCTCCCTCCCCCACTCTTTCCCCCCCCCCCAAAGACTCTTTTTTTTTTTCTCATTCGTCAATCAATCTGTCAAATTTTTTAAAGTTTTCTTTTTCCTCCCCTCCCTCCCTCCCTTACTTTTTGCTATTAAGTTTGTGTACCCCAAACAATCAACTAATACGCATCTCAGCCCTAAAAATTGTGTAAGCAGCTGTCAAAAGGGAGCATACAGACAAGTATGGAAATGACTGAGAGGGATGGCGGGGGGCATAAAGTTATATTGAACACCGTATGCCGTACAGCGAACATGTAATTAAATTAACGCGGTACATATGTATACAGTATATCTGTTATCAATTGTCAAACTATCTTTTTTCCCTCCCCTATGTCGATCAATCTAGAAAGGCAATACATGACCAATTGATGCATATCTAGCATTTTCGCCAGTCAAACCTAATTCCGGTTTGATATAATATTTGGTATACAACATGAATGCTATGTTGTTTATTAATAATTCTCTATTTGACATCTTGACATGTCTATTACTATGGCAGAATAAGAGAAAAACTACTTGCCCGCCAACAAAATAAACTCTTAACCAATCAAAGACAAATGCATTAAGTAATACATCTTACGAACAAACCTTACGAGGTCATCTGTTCTCATTGGCCATGATGTAATATACCCTGCATCTTACTCGCCGCTAAAATTTTCCCTACCTTTTCTTTCCCTGCAGCCCTCGAAAAAAATTTTTATTATTATTTTTTTTTTTTTGATTTATTTATTTCTTTTTTATTGCCTGCTCCTTGACTCCCTATTCCCCATCTCCCCACCATCCCCACCATCTCCACCATCTCCACCATCCCCGCCATCTCCACCCCGATCCATCTATCTTTTTTCCTCCCCCCAACTGCTCGACCATGTTCAACCAATAAACTAAATGATTTCCCTGGTAAACAAACAAATAAAGCATATCGGGTTTATGGCGCATAATTATTATTATGGCGCACATCCTTTGCTGCACGGAACGGTCATGGCATTGTCTATAATTAGTAGAATAGATATTTTGACATTTTGACGGGAACTTTATAACAAACAGTGATTAGATACCATTTATCCGTCTATACATTACCAAATAATGCAAAAGGCGCGGAAACTACGGAGGGCGCAGAACGTGCAGGGCGTGCAAAGGGGCTGCGTGAAGCATTTGCCATTGTGCATATAATATGTAAATGTATCTAAATGTGTTGTATATAATAAGATAGATGTATATACGGTATATAATTAATTGTCTAATTATACTGTTTACCGCTTTCCTCTCCCTCCCCAAAATCTCGTTACTCAAAGTTTTAATGTTGTGTGTGTGTGAAGAATGCGTATGTTTACGGCTAAATTGTAAAGAGTTACATCATTACTCGCACATACATGTAATAAAAGGTGGTTTGGCGGCAAAGGGAGGGAAAAAGGAACTGGTGAGAACAAACCACAAAATCATCAACAATTACATTGACAACAAATCAAGAATTGACAACATCATTACACAAAATAAATGCGGAAGACAGATATAAATGAATATGGAAATAATACAAATGTGTATAGACTTGTCAGATAACAAAAACGTCAACAGAAGGTCTTATTTGATTAAATTAATTAATTAAACAATCAACCGGCATAATTTGGGGGAAGGGGAAAGAGGAAAAGGGAGGTGAGGTGGGGGAATAATAAACACTCACAAACACTCTTTTGTAAAATTAATCTCAAATAGATTAGACACAAATGTTGTGAGACACTGTAAAAGAGTTTTCTTTCGCACGGGTTGGGAGGTCAAAGTGATCTTTTTCTGCGTCCTGTAATGCGTTTGTACGCGTATAGAAAATCCCGTATATCAAGTACTGGTTCTTAATATTTTTGCCGAACCTCAAGTTTTTTATCGGCAATGAACGAACATCGGGACTATTGCGATTCGATACATAAGGTATTGAGGAGTAAATTAACTGCATGCTGTCATGTATGATGGCAACGCCCGCAGTCGTGCCCTTAACTTTGTCGATGAAGGTTTTATATTCGGCCATTGTCATTTGTTGTTGATGTTGATGTCGTTGATGTCGTTGATGTCGTTGATGTCGTTGATGTTGTTATTATTATTTTGTTGATGTTGTTATCATCATTATTATTATTACTATTATTATTATGTTGTTGTTGTTATTATTATTATTATGTTGTTATTCTTATCATTATTATTGCAGCCGTCTTATTATCAAAGTAGGACTTATTGTTGTCGCTATTGTCGTTTTGTTATTGTTTCGAAAGTTCGACTGCGTAAATGAACCTTTGCAAACGATACCCGAACTTTACAGTTTTGATAATCAACATCTGGCCATGGCGCCAATTGATAGCGATTGTTTACTGCCGCTATTTAGTTGTTATCGCCACTCGATTTTCCTTTTCTTGCTTTCCCAAGTCTATTCATAGATCATCCCTTTTTCTTTTTTCCTTTTCCTTTTAGTCAATGTGTTTGGGCCCCTTTCACAACTTTCCTTTCTAATCCAACATACGCACAAGAGTGAAAGTCGGGGGGAAAGAGAGAGATAAAAAAGAAAAGTCTTGGTCCATTATAACAACGCCCTCCAATCATCATCGGCATAATTTATTCATTATATATAATAATCGTTATTATTTTGGTATCCATCTTAACCTTATTTGGTTGCACACCTGTCAAATTTAATATTTGTGTTGTTGCATACAACAATGTAAGTTACATGAGCTATTCTTCTCTCTTGTCGGCCGGCCAATTGAATCCGGATAATAAATAATGTTTGGACATTACCTTCGGAAATATTATAAAAGTAAGCACGGATGGATGGTGATGGCTACACCAGTATACTAGGCTACACCAACATACGTCACCCTAGCGTTATAAATTTGGCAGTACTTGTGTGCATATACATAATATTTTAGCATATACATACATTTATTCATTATCTGTAAGTATTTACTAGTCTTTCTTTCTTTTTCTGGTTATGAAAAAAGGGGAAATATACAAATGCAGTCGTTATTTGTGCTCAGCGTTACTGTCGCGTGGCGTGTGAGATTTCATGGGCGCTTTAATAAACGATAGCATGCGGACTATGAATGGATTGGCGAGTAATAGTTTATAGATGACCTCATTCTATACATACAAGTTTAGATCTACGGTATGCGGTTCCGATGATGAAGACGCAACAGCCAATTAACAGAGTGGTTGTTCGTCAGGATAAAAAGAATAAGGAACTTTATGACATAGCTGCTACTTATACAATGTTATTGCTATATTTAATACTCGAATTATTAATAAACCATTACTCTCTCTCACACCCCCCTCAATTAATTACCCGATTTTCATTATCATATGCTCAAGCCCCTCATCCCCTCTCCTATCTCCTATCTCCTATATACCCCAACTGCACAGAGCTCTTGATCGCTGGCACTTTTTATGCTGTGATGGGTCAGATGGTCGGATTCTATGTTATCTAATTGGACGCCATCTATGGAATGTGAGACGATCTGGTGATGTCCGTTTGGCGGGTTTTCAGGCTGAACGGATTGAACTCCAAAGCACGATAAGGACCAAGAGAGAAGGAAGAGAGTGCATGACATTTAAGAGTCGGCCAAAAATACATGTATATTGGCGCTCTTTGTACCGTTTCTTTCGGAAGATGGCTTTGCCGATCTAAATATCCTTTGCATAAGACATATGCTGGTTTTACTATTATTATCACCAATAAACGTAGGGTTTGCATGTACGTGTATAAAACGTGCAGCAAAACGTTTTGCGTGACGCTGATGAAAACGAAATTCCAGTCACAGCACAACATAATTCGGATATTGTATGAAATTGCATTTGGTAATTCTCCAATAATTATAATAAAATAAGCATTCATTGAATTTGTAATGGAACTTTGTATTTTACTATTTTCGGCAATATTTGTGCCACGATCAATACTTAGTTTTTGACATTTTGCTCATTTTGCTCATTACCACCGGGATTTTTATGGTCACGAGATGAATACACGTGATTACATACACTGAAATAGAGAATGAGAGAGAGAGAGTGAGTGAGAGAGAGAGACGAATATGGCGGACAAGGAAAACAAGGGAGAAGGGTGCGCTAATCAACAAAATGAATCCTCAACAACGCACCGTATGCAATAGAAATGAGTTGTCTTGGCTCTTGCGGATGTTACAAGTTGCTAATACATATACAGTATTGCTATAGTGCATTTTTTATATAATCACATATGCTATGTATGTCTTTTTTTTTTTTCTTCTTCTTCTTCTTTCTTTCTGCTTTGTTCATATCACTATCACATATCTAAGCCCTCTCGTCTAATGATTATTAAAATAAATTAAATTTTACGGCAGTGTTCTCATACACAGCAGCATGTATTCAAGAACAATAGGTCATGCACCAGACATTGTACTATGAGCAAAGATAGCATATGAACTTCAAAGGGTTGCATCGGGGACTATCAATAATCGTTATCCGGAAACACCTATCGTGTGTGGGGGGGTTGGGTATTTCACTTTTATGGACATTTGGTGACGATTTGCCGATGATTTTACTAACGAACCTTTCATTTGACCTTACGAGGTGCGTTGTATGAGCAATTTATGGTAAATGATGTGCCATATGTGAGCGCAGCAGATTGCCGTCGCTATATTAGTCGTTTGTATGCTTTGTATGCTTTGTATTCCTTTCCTTGCTTATCCTAAACTAATCTTCACACTCTTCCAGCAAGCCGATCCCTGTATCGTCACAAGTTAATTGCCAATAGTTGCCATTTTATTGGTTACATTGCCTTACGTAATTCCGTTCACACTAGTCCACAATTATCACGTCCATAGAGTGATGGGTACTGATAACGAAGATATGACATATGATAGCGAATATATATACAGCATGCATATTTTATATACTTCCATTCAAAGTAGTCACCCTGACGGTCGGGGGAGGTGCTTACGAAGAGATGGACTGTAGTAATTTTAAAGGGAAGATGGCTTGTTTTGGTAATAGGGAACTGTTTTGTAAGAGACAGAGTAACTAGCAGATTGCCTGTTCAGGGAGGAATGAAGAGTCAGAGATGCAGGGTTCTCTGATTATTACTCAACGTGCTCTGTAAATTACCACCACGGCATTAAGGGATTTGCGTATCAGACATGGCTTGTGACAAGCTTGCCTGCCTGCAGCAAATAGCAGCAAATAGCAGCAAACAGCAGCAAATAGCGTAAAACTGTATAAATAAAACAGTAAGTAGAGTGAAAAGGGTTTAGATCAACGATGGCTGGCGATGATGATGATGATGATGATGATGGATAATGGGTGATGATGATGATGATGATGATATAGCGATACGATTATTTCGATAGAATTTGATAGGCTCGATAGGATTGGGTAATTGCGATAACAATGATGATGGTAACAATGACAATTAAAATATACCGATACCATAATAATAATAAAAAACCATAATTAATAATTATTGTTAAATGAATTATTAACAATATGTATCACATTTATTAACTATTACACATACATTATACAGTATATATTACTGTTATTCTCTCGTGGAATTCCGCCAATCTCTACCATCTGATATATCTCTCATGTATAAACTGCTGCTTCCTGTTATCTCAGCCTCGTTTGAATATGCAGGTAGGATAAGAGAGGCGATCTGTGATTTCAGCGTGATTTCGACATTTCCCATTCCTCATAGACGGTCATCGCATATGTACAACGTCTATCATTTCTGCAGAAGATTATAAAACAAGTTTATTACTTGTAACAAGATGGATATAAAGATTTGAAGATAACGATTCCACTGTCAGGCAGCTGATGGAATAACGGCCTATTACTATTAATACGTCCCGTCCTATCATCTTTGTCTTTTCAAACATCCTCCTTCCCCTCCTCCCCTTCTTCAATCAATCAAGGAATCCCCTTACATTTCGTACAAAGACAACGTTCGATTGTTTTATTATTATATTATTGTTATTACATTTCCACACATACGTTTTCACCCTTCTGTTCCATATTTTATGCCTCATGCTTGTGTCGGTTACTTCGTGTTACCATAGTATGAAAAGGGTCTAGCTATGCATCAACTGGGCTGTCATTTAGACAACGTGGATTAAAATGATTAGAGCATACATAATAATAAGACATATATGTATAAATGGAGAAACGTAGGTACATTGCATAATGTTTTCAGTTTAGCCTATAGCCATGTTTATACATTTTTATAAATGACTCGGGGAGTACAAGTACTCAAACTTCTTATTCGGGGATTTAAATGGTACTAAACCAATATGTTTATTGGTAGTCCCATTTGAGAGGTTGGTAGGGGTGATGCTAGCTAGCTGTGATGCGAGGGGATGTGATAATGCTGTGATAATGCTGTGATAATGCTGTGATAATGCTAGCTGTGATGTTAGCTGTGATGTTAGCTGTGATGTTAGCTGTGATGCTAGCTAGTATTGTTGGTAATGTATGACAACCAATCAGCGTAAACTGTACTTACGCATGGTTAGCCGTAGCGGGAATTCTTTACGCAGTATCAATAATTGTACAATAGTTCGAACTGGGCAAAGAAAAAACTAATTTACAAAGCACGATATGTAAGATATGCATACATATCTCTTATTATCCACAGCTAGCGTTTCTATTTTCTATCACCAATTATGGTTATCATAGATAGTTATTTATAGATCATCAACGTATGCAGTGACTACAATCGACATCCATCACTGTGCCACGCTATATTACAACAACGCCCTAGTCGGCTGAATGTCAACAACAGATGACAGCCAACCAAAAGAGACTCTCGGGACATCGGAAAGAATCACGAACAGTGAACAAAGCTGCGTATGTTGAACGAGCGGCTTACAAGGGCTGATGTTCGTAACGATAGTAACGATACGATAGTAAGAACGCTATTATTGGTGCTGCGTAAACGTATCAACCCCCCCAATACTTGTTGGTTATTATTTCCATTATTCAATAATCCTGATTATTAGATAATTTTGGGAACTTCTGACATTCAATGTTTTCATAGCCTGCCAGCTCTAACGTACACATTGTTTATTTCTGTCTCATGGTGTTTGTTTACATTACCTATATGATGCATGTATTAAATATCCATCCATAAATTTCCATATCAAGAACAATATGTACGACACTGATGATATCATGTGGTCACCATTAAACAGATACGCTTTAGCAGCTGTAAAAGTTTAGCTTTAAATTTAGCTGGACCCCATCATTATCTGTCCCATTGCTTTCGTTAGAAGAAGATTATTTTGTGACTATTTAGATATTTACGTATAACAAAACAAAGTATTCAGCACTCATTTGGATAGATTTCATCCATTCTTCTCCGTATGTTGTACTTCTCACACTTTGACAGGTGCATCATATCAACAATACACAATCGCCTTAACTTAAAACGTCATTCTTCCAAACTTGTTTTTGGCTAATGCGCAACAGTGGACTTGACAAGGGGACTGGGTTCTGGACTAGAAGAATGGGTGGGTTTCATACGTTATCTATACCGGTTTGCCACTTGTCATGAGATTTGTCTATGGGATATTGCTATCTCTCCATCAGCTTATATATTGAGCAATTGTAACGGCATGCTAGTGCATGCATAATAACGAGTTACTTTTTCTCTTTTCTCACACAAAAAAAAATCCGGTTTTAAAGTTTTAATTTTTCTATTTTGTCCAAGACTCGTATTCATTGGCAGATGAGATGCGGTTTCTATGCAATGATTGAGTTTGCTTCGCCTCGTTTACGCAAACACCGTCAGATGGCTCGCTTATCATGAGATATGCTATTGTAAATAAATATACTATCAATTGTGATGGTTACAGTATTCCGTACGATTGTTTTCTATTCATCATTATCTGTCATCTGTCATTTGTCCATCTGGCCTGTCTGCCTATCTGTCCATCTGCTCATTCTGGGCTTGCTTGCCTTGCGTGCCTGTCTGTTTATCGTTTGCAGTGGCTGTCGATGAGTTGGATTAGTTACCGTACCGTAACAATATATGTTTGTACCGTAACAATATATGTTTGTACCGTAACAATATATGTTTGTACCGTAACAATATATTGGTAATATACGCTAATGGCAATTAATATCTCGGGATAGACGACTTGTATTTAAACGTTGTCATTGTATTGTATGCGTGCTTTTCAGTTTGACATTACTCCTGATATTTGGTAGAATTGTATGCTTTATATATATGTCTAGTATTGGTAATTGGTAAGTTTGATAGCAGCAATTGCCTCGTGCTAAAATATTCATATGATGTCATCACTTTAATATTTATACTGCACACAGCAATTACTCGGTTAGGTTTCATTTATTACCCAAGATTTTCTTAAAAATTGCCTAATTTTTCGATATTAATGATGTAACTGTATAAGTAAGCGAACACGGAGTTGTGATTGGAATAAAGGATGATAGAATGTGCAGGTTGTGCAACGCAGCTGTCATAAACTAGTGAAGAGTATGCTGAATAACAGGATAGTTAAAAGCCACGCTTGAATTAGTTAAGCAATTGACGATAGGAAATGGAGGGAGAACTAAAAGTTAATATGAACGACGGGTGATAACGAGCAAGCATGTGTCGATAAGAGGGCATTGGTTCCTCGGAATATAGGAGAATCTTATTGGTCGGGATGCGACTATTTTAATATATATAAAAAAGGGAGGGGGATTGTAAACATTGTTCAAGGTCGAAAGATAAGCAAGCAGTATATTTTAATATTGTATTATATTATGTTGTATTATATTGTATTGTATAAGGCATACATTCACTCTCTGAAGAATATATAATTTACATTACATTACATTACATTGTATATACACAATGATTGTATTTTCAGACTGTATACGTAGCGTTGCGTATTTTTTTGATTGGGCATGGTTTGTACTCAACATGTCAAATTTCCCCTAAAACCGTAAATATATATAAATTAAAATGTTATACATCAGTCACTTTGACTTAGATATCACATATATATTTGATGTATAAATAGTACATGAAGCATTCAATGCATAATATATACAGACCATTTAATGGACATTACTGCAAACCGTATAAATAATGGGACTTTGTAGGAATATATAACTATATATAACCCCCAACTCAATATCTCGACAACCGCGACATCAGGTTACAAGAAATAACGACATCCACATTCAAAAAGCGTCACTAGAATTAAACCAACTCTTCATATTTAACTATCTATTTATTTGTTGTGGAAAGTACCAACATCACCAACCAACAACCCAACGAACAAAAATAGAGAGAGATTGATAACAAGTCAACTCACTCTTCTACAAGGTAAGCCACCCAACCATTCTTGTAATATATAAACCCCAGCCCTACCCACGCTCCCCCTCGTATCCCCTCCCTCACTCTACCCGTCCTGGCGACACTCTTCCTGTCACCAACCGAGACAAGCGTATTAACGAGAAGACAAGTGGTAGATAGAAAACTTGCAGAGGAGACACAACTCTGTATAGCAACCGTTGGTCTCTTGTACGTTAATCAGAAATATTATTACAGTGTATATTGGTGATAAGATTAGTAATTAATAACACACACAATCATCCCGACATATTGATAGTCATAAATAGGAGGGCAACACAAAATCAAACATCATTAGTATATATATAAGCCTTTTGTAGTCAAATCAACCCGACACTAAAAGAGAGATAAAATTATGTTAGAAACATAGCAAGAAATTTAGCATTTCACACAAGAACTCCCCCCCCCCCCAAATCATACATCCTAATCTATAAGCACTTACACATATAATTTGCATATAATCTAATATTTCATCATAAGCATAATATTAATAGACATTACTTTTGCATACTTGTATGTTCAATAATATACCTATACACACCACACACACACTACACACTACACACACACTACACACTACACACACCCCCCACACATATACAAACCACACATACAAACCCACACGCATACATAACTTAACTAACTCACTTTACATCAACAGAACATATCATGCCGGCTCCATTATCACCAGCCGTGCGTTCTTCTGTTCACCGGAAAACCAAGGACAACCAAACCAATACGAGTTATGGTACCAAGGTGGCTAACGGTCGAACGGTAAATGTGAGTGCTTATCTGTCAATCATTTACTATATAAACTTTATCATATACCGTATTAATAGACATCTTAGATATGATGGAGTTCTATGAGAAAAGAGTTAAATTTATACCAATGGGCGTATTCATTTGCTGCACTGCTGCCACAATTCCACTGCCGCAATGATATGCCCTCAAGGTTACACTCGAGTCATTTCATACAACGAATAACAAACAGAGAGTAGATTGTTAGCACATGCGTATCAGCACAATTAGGAGGCATGATGATGATGATTATGCAAAGAACAAAGGACAAAATATGAATTATTGCAAAAAAAAAAAAAAAATGCTTAGCTTAGAGATTGGTTTAGTTGGTACAAGCGTATAAACAACCCCAACATTGATGCGATGTATTTATTCCACAAGTACAATAGTAAATAGAACAAGCGATAGAGTAGCTATATGCCAATGCCATTTTGTGCAATTCATCAATCGTAGTTTATGCTGGCATTGTCAACTTGGCATTGACAACTTGGCATTGACAGCGTTGCATCGACAGCGTTGCATCGACAGCGTTGCATACATTCTCATATCCCCCCCCAATCCATTATTTTCCACATGCTAATCTTTAATTTATGCATTTCTTTCCTTGTCCCCTTGTCACCTAGGGCGCACCTCACCAAACCATGTATAATAACTTATCGAATCGTTACGAGGTAATGAACACGTGTAAATCATGTGACTTAAATATTATGGTCGTTCGTGCTAAATCTTTTTCCTATTCTTCTCCCCCAAGGCTCTCATACAAGAGACATTTCCCAAATCTTCTCCAGTCAAACCAAAGAAGGTAAACATCTCGAACGACGCCGAATCCTTTCTTTTATCCCTTCACTTTCTCACATGTTATTTTACCCAAATCTCACCCTCTCAGTCCGTACGAAGACCATCAACACCGCACGGAAACAAGTCCACCGACTTTATCGAGCGCAACAGACAGGCAATCTCAAACTATTCAAAACAAAAAGATGATTCACCGCCTGTATCTCCGCAACCAACACTCAGGCGTTCGTCAGGTGGATCATCCACTCGCTCAATTACTCCTCACGGACAATCATCAGCATCCGTCCGCCCAACAAGTTCTTATCGCCAACGATCAGTCAGTCCTCAATCAAACAATTTAGTTGGCATCCTCAAGAAGAGCTTGCCCTCATCGACAGCGACTGTTCAATCATCAAAGCAATCCTCCACGATCCGTCGCCCAACCTCACCTCCCAGCTCACCTTCGGGATTATCGTCTCATAAGATGTCCCATGCTCTTAACAGTAACTCGCTCGAAGCTCAAGTACGTGTCAACAAGCAACTCAAGAAGCTGCTGGATGAGCGCGATGAGCTTTTGCGTGAGAAGGAAAATGAGCTCGAGGAATATGCAGATGTCGTGGACGCACTAAGAGAGCGCATCTGTCAAGTCGAGGCTAGGAATAGGGAATTGTCCGCACAAAATGAATTGCTTAAAAGTATGGTCGAAGAAGCAGAATTGCGCAAGCAAACTGAGCAAGATATTCCCACAAAACTCTCCCAGATTGCCAAGAACTATCAAAGAGTCAAAGGTGACAAACAAGTAGCCGCTGTTGTATCTCAGACCTCAAAACGTACCGCCAACACGACCACGTCCGCCGCTACTTCCACTGCTCAACAATCTTCTGTCATCTCTTCATTGGTTGCATCACGTCCTACTACTGCTGCCCCGGCGGCTCCAGTTGCAACTCCTCTACCGGCTACTACTACTACTCAGGTCAAATCTTCGGTTACTCCATCTAGACTTGCTCCTACTCCAGTCACTTCTCATCACGTTTCAGCTGCTGCCGTACCTCTCGACCCCGAGGTGCTAGTTCAACCCTCATTCAATGCCGCGCGTCATCCAGGCGGCTTTGGTTCTGAGATGCTCAGCAAACAATCAGAGTTTGAACACAGCCGTCAGGCCTTGGTTAATGCTAAACGTGAATGTCCATTGAACATTGTCACGGAGGAATCTGACGAAAGCGACGAGGAAAAGATCTTTGAGGGTGAAGCTTCTGATGGACCGTTCTCTTCTTCAGACACTCTGTCTTCAGTTTCCGATCGCAGTGAATCTGATTCTGATAGTGATTCTAGTCCTTCTATCGGTAATACTCAATCTGAAGCCAAGAACGATGTAAAATCAACTTATTTCCTCAACTCGGATAATTCCTCTTCTCTTGCGGACGATATCAAAAAATGGAAATCGAATGTTTCTGCTAAAAATGAGCTGGATGCTATTTGTGAGGAAGAGGACGACGAAGATGACGAAGTCGACGTCGAAGCTCTCCGAGCAATTAATGCTAAACCTAAACAATCGGCTTCAGCTTTTCCTTACTCGATTAAATCTCCAATTGTAAATCCCACATCGAATGCTTTGGTCACTCCTATCTCTAATGTCTCGGTTGGTCACACCTCTAACAAAACTTCTAACGTTGTTACTACTTCAACTCCGGTCACAAAACCTCAACGTCGCCTACGTCGCCCCCGTGCTAATTCCACAAGTTCTTCTGATTCTGGAATCGGAAGTATTCATGAAAACGGTAATGGTAAAATGGTCAAAAACACAAACTACAACTTGCTTCAAAATAATGGACAATCAACAACTACTTCAAACAACTCAAATCTGGTCACACCCAACTCATCTCTTCAAAACAACATTGCGGTCTCATCTTTATCGGCTACTTTTCAATCTAATTTGTCGGCATCAAAGGTCACTTCTATCTCATCCGGTCAAGGTTACATAAAATCAACAACCGAACATCGTGAATCTTTTTCTTCTGAATCGTCATCTGATTCTTCATTGGCTGCCTCTCAACGTGATTTATACGGCTCATCGGTCACTTCAAACTCATCTGTTTCAGCTAACTCTGGAAAATCTCTCAACTCGGTCACATCTCAACGTAATATCTCTACTGGTTCTTCATACAGTTATACGTCGGCTAACTCTCAATCGAATTCATCGGAATCTGCGGTCACTAACTCACATGTATCGGTTGTTTCATCCGGATACGACAATTCCTCCAACTTTTCTAAAAACAACGCTAACTCAAACGGTTTGGTAAAACAATCTTCCGGTTCAAATGGTCACAAAAATTCTTATCCCAACTCGGTCACATCTTCTCGCTCGGCATCTTCTTCTGAATTCGGCAATTCTATAACTAAACAAACTTCCCAAACTTCGGTCACATCTCAATCATCTGCTAACAATTCAACTGCTTCTTCCCGTTATGGTCCAAGTTCTCGGTCATCATCTCAGTCAACTACGTCGTCTTTTCGGTCACCATCTCCATCTAGCGGCAGGTCTAGTCGTGCTCGATCGCCTGCTCATGAATCTGGTCAATCTTCTGCTTCAAACAACAAATCAACTGCTAGTCCAATTCCTTCACCGCCACCGCCACCAGCTTCCAAGGATACACTTACTCAATTGCAACACTTTATTCGATTACTCAGTGAAACATGCTCTCGCGAAAACCCATTGAAACGTTACGATGTCAAGAAAATGATGGACGAAGGTTCTTCAGCCAAAGTCTATTCAGCTCGTCAATTAGGTTCTGATAATGGTGAAGAACGTGCCATTAAAATAGTCCCATTGACATACTCTCTCGAATTCATTTTTAATGAAATTTACGTCCTGAAAAATCTCAAGCATGAAAACATTGTTGATTTTAAAGAGAGTTTCTTGAAATGGGATGGAAAGACGCGTGAAGTATGGCTTGTAATGGAGAAATGTGTTCGCGGTGATGTTACTAGCAAGGCTGGCAAAGTCTCTCAACGAGAAGTCGGACGTATTGCTGGAGAGGTAAGAAAATGTCACTGATTACGTTATTTGAGACACGGGATTGCGGCAAGTAATAATAGTTTATTGACTTTTGGAAATTTTATCTGTGTAGCTTTTGAAAGCATTGAAACATTTACATGCTCATGGAATTATTCATCGTGATATTAAATTGTCCAATATCTTGAGCGGTGCTAACAACGAAATCAAACTTGGTGAGTGTCACAACCACAAATAATGCAGTATGAATTTGTGCCTTTTACTTTCTATGCCATTGAATGATATATTTATTAATTCGTCAATTTTCTTTTATTTAGCTGACTTTGGTATTTCTTCTCTGACTTCTACATCAACGACTGGAATGGTTGGTACAATTCCGTATATGGCTCCCGACGTTGTTCTTGTCAACCCCGATCGTCCATATGATACAAAAGTCGACATCTGGTCTTTGGGTGTTTGCATTTTGGAATTATTGACTGGCAAAGCCGCATGGGGCCGTATTCGAGATGATGAGATTATGCTCAGATTGCGCAAAGGTGAGAAACCGTACGGTTTTGAACGTATGCGCAAGAAGGCCGAATTTGGTTGGGAAGCTGTCGATTTCTTGGAACGATGCTTTGCGAAGGATAGCGAGAATAGATTGTCAGCTGAGGAACTTCTTGAGGTTTGCATTTAACAATAGATATACGATTGATGTTATCAAACGTTATAAATGTTATAAACTATTATTCATACTTGTTAATTTTTATTTTCTTTTAGCATCCATTTATTACAAATTCGTATTAAAAGGATCTCTTTTTCCTCACATGGATAAATCTTGGATTGCTCTTCGTCTCCTGGATTGTTCTCTCGTCTGATTGTTCCTCGCATCCGATTTTTTCTCTGTTGGCCTTTTTTTGATATCTCATTCGATTAATCCTTTTTTGATTTTGTGGGAACCAAACCTGTACTTTCGCGTTTTGTATTGAGACCCATCAATTTTTTTTGTATCCCCATTTTCTCTTATTCCCTTGTCCCCTTTATGATACTACCCCTCCCCCCTTTTTCTCCTCACCCTCTTCTTTTTGCTTCAATGCCGTGGCTCATGGGTCATTGTGGTCTTTGCAGATGACTTGAAAAATGAGCAATACAGCAGCTTTTTGGCGTATTTAATGGCATTGTATTGTTATTTATTATCCCCAACATTTCTTATGGAATTCGTGTCAAACTTGACCCAATTTCCTAATCAGATATTTATCCAACCTTGTTCAATTCTTCCCCTTTGATCATTATCCCCCGATCAAGTCTCAGCCTGTATAGCTAGACTTTATATAAAATTAAGTGAGCTCTTTGACACAACGTAGATCTAAGAGAACATTTTTGTTTCTTTGAATATAGAAACAAGTGGATATCCCCCATGAGATACATATGTAACTAGTTCTCATCGACAACGATGCATGGAACTTTACTCATTCAGTCTCAGTAAAGTCACCCATTGCAACATTCAATGTGACCAAGTGAGTCGGTTATCACGTGATATAGTTATTCCAAAATCTCTGACAATATGTATACAAGATAATTCTACAAACATATATATACATTGTTGAATGCAAATCATGTACAGTAGAAAATGACGGACAATTGGCTATCATAGACATTAAAATATAGAAACGAAAATGTTCATTGGGGTTAATGAAAGTAGAGTAGTTGTGAATACAAACATTAATTGAATGGGTTTCAATGAATCGAGGTTAAAAGTATATTAGTATTAATAATTCATTATTGCATAGGTATATATTATTATTATCATCATTATCATCATCATATTATCAATATATCATAATACATTTTATCATTATTTACTTATCAAATATTAATCGTAGTTGTTAATTAACTGAATAAAGTACCTAATATAATGTTTGACTACTGAAAATCCAGAAAGGCAAAAAGAAAACAATCATATGTGTCCACATGAATAATTCTCATATCAAAATTCGTATTAATATTCCGTTTATTATATATAATCCCAATCGTCAATCAATCTAGATTAGTATACAGGTTCATGTTTTTCTTTCTAGCTATTCTGACTTTTCGCAATCGGTATCTATGAAATCCCCAAGTTATAACTCGCTGTCTTTTACTTTTTGCCGTCAAATCCGCTGGGATGTTTCTGATGATACTTCCAAGCAGTGGCGACTATTTCCTTTACGGTGTTATACTTCTTCTCCCATCCGAGAATTTTCTCTGCTCTTTCGGATGATGCAATTAACACATCAGGATCCCCCGGTCGACGACTCTCGATCACTGCCGGAATAGGGTGCCCTGTAACTTCCCTTGCCGCCTCAATCACCTCCTTTACAGAATATCCTTCGCCGCTGCCAAGGTTAAATTGATTAGACTTGTTTTCCCTCACCAGATATTCGAGAGCTTTGATATGAGCAGTCGCAAGATCAGTGACATGAACATAATCTCTAACACAGGTACCGTCTTTTGTCTTGTAGTCATCTCCAAATATCTTGATAGCAGGACGACGGCCAAGAGCAACTTGAAGGACAAGAGGAATCAGATGAGTTTCAGGGTCATGATCTTCTCCGATATCGCCACTTTTGTGTGCTCCACATGCATTGAAATATCGAAGACACACATATTTAGTTCCGTAGGCCTTTTCACACCACTTTAGAATGCCCTCAACCGCCAACTTGGTATCTCCATATGGATTAATCGGCTTGGTAGGAGCATCATCTGCAATGGGAATAACTTCAGGCGTGCCAAAGAGAGCAGCAGTCGATGAGAAGATAAAATATTTGACGTTGTATTTATTCATAGCCTGTAACAAAAACACAGTGCCCACCACGTTATTCTCATAATAGAGTAGTGGATCGATCATACTCTCCCCCACTGATGCGGATGCACAAAAGTGCATGACGGCTTCTGGAGTATGCTTAGAAAAGACTTGGTCAAGTGCTTCTTTGTCTCTGATGTCTGCTTGTTCGAAGGCTATGCCTTCCGGTACACACTCGATATGACCCATCGACAAGTTATCCAGAATGACGACTTCATATCCTGGAATAGCTGCCAATTCCCACACCAAATGAGAGCCAATATATCCTGCCCCTCCGCAGACAAGTACTTTCATCGTGATAAATGAGCAAACATGGGTGGCAGTTGCGGATCTTTTATTACTGACTATTATTTGACAACTGCAGTAACACCATGTTTCTTTTTGACCTTTGCTAATTCAGGTAGTGTAACTGCTTGATCAAGTAGTTGCTGACTTACACGTGTGTTTAGCAAATAAAGAAGCACTAACTATTACGATTGGTTAGTTTGGACCAGATTTTTAATATTTATACAGTCAGACCTCTCTAAATGCAACCTCTCTAAATGCACACACTATATAAACTCTCCATAAATGCACGGTATGGTTCAGTCCCAGCTTATAAGAACATTATATATTTTGCTCTCTGTAAATGCACACTCTCTCTAAATGCACACTTTTGGATTTTTTTCACTATAGTCCCGACAACGTGCGTTTAGAGAGGTCTGACTGTATTTAGCCCTACACGTACAATAGGATATTGAAAGATTGCTCGTACTAAAAATAACAAAAAGTCTTGTTGAGAAGTAAGATTACTAAACTAAACGATCGCACATAAATTTAATCGGTAGTGCCTACTGGCTGTTATTCAAGCCAATAATGCAGAACAGCTCGACTTCAAGAAAACTGCGAACACCATCGCTGATAGAGCGAGGTGAATAAAAAAAAAGGTACTATTTGAGCGAACTCTCCGGTAATGTTATGCAAATACGCGGTGGTAATGTCAACCTCCAATCTTCTAGCGACTGACAAACTGTGGTGGATCCAAGGAAATTTACATCTGAAAGCAAACTGGGAAGAGGCCCCGTAAGTGGTCTTCTTTCTAACTTACTAAACCGCGATGCTGAACAGTGGGTGAATTTGTCGAGCAAACTGCCTGGGTGGGAAGGAAAGATCTCCATGGATATACGTGTTCCAATTCATCAATTACAGGGCTACTATAATCAGTCGACATCTCTTATTGCTGCTTGTGTGCTGAGTCATTTCGTGGACACTGTTCCATCTTCTGATGCTACAAGCGTCTCTGATTCGCTTGAAACAATTGTCTCGTTAACAGATACTCCATCATCCTTAATAATTTTCCAACGGCTTCCGTTGATTCTTCTGAATTACATCTCGATTGTATTGGCGTTGAGTTTTGACGCCTATATTAAAACCTATCATTACTAATAAATTAGGAATAACAAGTCCTGTCAGGGAATAGGCTCCCGCGTCAGC